CGTTGGGCGATTGTTTGCAGAGCCTCGAGGGAGGTCTCGGATAAGAACTCCTCTTGGGCATTGAGAATCTCAAACTTGAGTACTTCCCATACGGTAATAGAAAACTTGGACACTGTGTTGGGGTCGTATGAATGAATACATGCGATCAATGTACTAAGTGCATCTTTCTGTAGACCTGTTAGATGACTTCAACATCAAACATTACAGTGCGTCAACCAATCTTACCTTTACATTGGGAGAAGTAGAATCAAGCTTCTCTAATAGGGCAGGGATAGCGTGGGGTGCAAAATGCCTTGTCGAAGAAATACACTCTTGAAGGCGACCCTTCAGATCCTGCGCAGTGATTCCATAGGGATCATTGGGCGGGGGTCGGAATGTGATTGGGAAGTAGTTATATACCGAGTCGAAGAGGGTCTGTTTACTTTTAGCGGAATCCACAACCTTTGAAAAAATACACATACCTCAACGTGGTTCGAGATGTCCCATTCCACCATAACTACTTTCAGGATCGAGAAAACAATCATCAAATTCCTAGGATCTTTCTCTCCCGTCATGATATCAACAACACCCAGAAGCGATATATCTCCCATATCACGCATAGCTCCGCGGTGGTTTGACATCAAATCATTGAGCAATTGATAGACATGGAACCGTTGTGTTTGAGACCGAGACTGAAGATCCTGGAAGTTGGAGAAAAGTCTATATCAAAAATCAGCACTGGGTCATCATTGAGTTAAGCTTTATCCCCGGCGAACACAGGGATATCGCATGCAATCAAAAAGTATAGCACTTACGCTTGTGCTACTTGGGTAGCCAAAAACTTGTTAAACCGGTCCAGACCCTGTAGGGCCTGCAACCCATCAACGGCACCTCCATCCTCAATTCTATCACAGAAGAATGTAGTCAAAACTTGGATCTGTTGTCTAGAGAGGTATTTCGGCGAGAGAGCTTGGATAATGGCCGTAAGGTAGGAAATCGCTTTTCCACGTAGAATCGGGTCTTCATCGTTAATATATTCTCCGAGAGATTGGACGGTGTCAATCAGAGTCGCCTTTTTAGTCTCAACATCTACAATAACTTCCGTTAGTAATGCAACGGCTTGAAGTGGTGTCGAGTGCGGGGCCAATTGCGTACCGTGCGCGATTCCCTCGGCAATGCGCTTGGCTTCTTCTTTGTCGTGGTCCACGACCAGCATAAAGCTCTGCAGAGCCGACATGATACCAATCGAATCAATTAGGAGCGCCAGACGTGTAGATTGCGGGGGCAAGACCAAGATCCCATCGGCCAATTTCTTGTGGCCGGATGCCCTTATCGATAAGGGTCAGGTGATTCTGTTATCTCTCTCGACATCACGTGCCAAGGCCTGTTGCGTCATGGATGTAGTGAGACCTGCTTCTCTGTGCGGCGTCATTGGCAGCAAGATGGCTCCAACCCGCAGTATGGGATCGAATCGACTAACAACATCCATTTTATTTACATTTCTTATCGCTAGTTCAGCATCCGCACTCTGGGGCCTATCATCTCCCTTACCCCCACGTCAACAGCAACTAGCCCTCGAGCACGAAGAGCATCAATCAATAATGGATAAGATACTCCCTGGTATTGTCCAGCCACAGAAGACGGCTTCGGACGAGGATGTGAACTCAAAAGACAGTGGTAGCCCTATCATCTCAGATGTTTTGCCCAAGACCAAGGGCATTAATATCTTTGCGCGGTTGACCCGTGACTTTGATCCAATCGCCAGTCGCCTTAACGATGCATCCAAGAACATTACAGTACTAGCACCACGCAACAGTGCAATTCAGGCTCTTCCACGGAAGCCATGGGAGAATCCAGAAGACTACAAGAAGTTCGGAGAGGTAAATGCGTATGAGGGGCAGGACGGTCAAGACCGGGCAAAGCGGAATCTCCAGCGATTTGTGGAGGCCCATCTCATCCCTGCTAGTCCCTGGAGAGTTGGGGAAGAAGTGGAAACGCTTGCAGGGGAGAAGTTGAAATGGACGAAGGAGGGTGATAAGATCTTTGTAGGTTTTGTGAACTGTTAGTCGTCCGTCTAGTAACTGACTGTCTATAGATCCAACCTGGCAATATTGAAGTAGATTCAATTGCGGAGAAGGTCCATAATGGGGAAGTCTGGGTCTTGAATGATGTTATTAACTACCGTCAAGAGTGATTGGTTACAAGTTATGAAATACGAGTTATGGAAATTTTGCAATATGAATCATTCAAGAACACTCGAATAAGTTATGTAGATCCACAAGATTGCAGTTTGTTTAAAAACATGGCACATTCTATTCTTTATGCTATCCAAAGCCAGCGCCGACCTCAAGACAGGTATATACACCAACACTAGACATCACATGCAACGTCAAAGGAAGATTAGATCCCCGCAGGAGCAAAATTTTGCAAGATTCTCTCTTCCACTCCATCCAGAATGCAGAAGTGCTCCATCACTTCCAGGTTCTCTGCTTCGTTCAGGTACAGCTTGTCGGGATCTTGGCCGGGCTGGAGCGGGTTGACCATTGCGGCAGGGTTAGCCATACCCATCTGCTGGGCCATTTGGTTTGCAGCTATATATTATTAGTGACAGTTCTTATTAGAAAGGCTCAGATAGATGCATACAATTATCACTGCCGAGGATGAATCCAAAAACGGACTGGAGGCCCATCAAATTGAGGAAGTACCACGAAAGACTGGAGACCCATTGCACGTCAAGATCGCGAGTCAGGACACCAGACTGCAGCATCGACTTGAAGCGGATAGTAAGCGGGAAGGGCAATTTCACTGCAGAATTTGTAAGCTCGTTGTTCGTGTCCATTGATATCAAAATGCAACCTACAGATGACAAAGCCAGAGAAGAAGGCATTGATCCAGCTCATGATCAAGGTTTGCGGGATCATCATCATCATGTTTCCCTTGAGCATTCCCATCATAGCTTCCATACCCGCAGGGTCGGTCATGGGGTTCGCGGGCGGTTGCCCACGGTTGTTGGGGTCCTTGAGAAATGCGCCGTTGCGGAATCCGGTAACCATGTAGTTCTTGCGCATCTCGAAGGACTCGCGGTCGAGGACGGAGCAGGCATTGTTGCGGAGGTTCACGCCGCGGAGAAGAGCAAGGCGCTCGCGAGACTCGGCAAGAGTAGATGGCGATTTTGGGGGCGAGTTCATCAGGACCGTGGCATAGTGGCGAAGGATTCCGGTCAGGATCTATTAAGAAGAGGGGTTAGTTTCAGTCTCGGGGGTATCGCAGAAACTTAGGCTTCAAGGGTCGAGGGTATGTCGTACCATAACAATTGAAATGGGAAAGAGAATCCAATAGCTATAAGCAAATGGTCAGTCCAACTTCCGCTTGATCGAATCATGTTCTCTCACAATAGCGCCGGATCCCTAAGGATGGTCTGCTCAGCCCCTTGAATTGCCATATTGAGGCAGAATAAGAATCAAAGAAGTGCCTCCTTTGAACTCAAACAATAAATCCGTGGTGGCTGCAGGTGGGGGATGGAAAGTTGAAGGGGCCGCGAAGGAGAGGTTGCCAGGCGGAGAGGGATGTCATTGGCCCGCGTGAGCTCCAGCTTTCTCCAAAGGGCCACGCCGCATCTTTGTCCTGCGATAAACAACAGTCCTGTCTTGACCACTGAATGCTGAACAACACTCGATATCTTGGTTTTTAAAAAGTTCTTTACTCACATCTATTCTCAAATCTGTCATGGCTTCTACCAAGGTGCCGGTCTACTCGACCAATGGTCCGTAATCCCGATCTACTCTATACAGCAACAACACTAACAGTGTGAACAACAGATCTTAAATCTACGAGCGACGATGCTCTCCTTCCCTACCTCACCAACCTTCCCACTCCCTACGCTTTCACACCGGACTACTCGAAGACAAACATTCGCTTCCTGCTTGGATATAGCGCTGTCGCAATCGCAGGATTTACTTTCTATGCAGACCGCACGCTTGGCTGGGAAGCAACTACCTCGCCCTGGATTATCGCGGCAGTAGGAACCTACTTTGTCTTGAACAGCATTCTCACATACTGGATTTGGGCCGTCGAGGCTGGTGAGGTATACTCCGGAAAGAGGAAGACTGGGGAGACGGTATGTCAATTGATCTTCAACCCTATCGAAGTTCCATTCTTTGGCAGGTTACTAACAGATTTATTGATAGATATCTGTCTCGTCATCCGCCAAAAAGTTCTCCAATGTCTACAGGCTGCATGTCACATATAAGTCTGCCTCTGGCAAGGTCCTCCAGGACAAGCGGTGCGAGGCGCCCTTCACAACTTGGTTCTCGGCAGACGGTGTATTCCACCCCGAGCCCTTCCGTCGCTGGGTGGCCAGCGAGATTGATGTTTTGAGATTGGCGGCGAAGGAGAATGAAAAGAAGTCTGGCTAAAATGGAAGGTTACCTATCAATTACTATCAGAGCTTATGTTTTCAGGGCTATTGCAAAACGCAAAGCTAGTTCATTCTTTAAAAGGGAATAAGAAGAGTGCATTCATATTACACGTTCAAATGAGCAAGATATCAGTTTTCTGTTCTTTGGTTTTCATTGGGCATACTTAATCAAACGCATCCAAACAGTATATGTGACTTTGTCGATATTGACTGGCAGTGGAACCAATCTCCTATGCAACACCTATACCTCAATCGATATGTGAGAGCTCCTACTCTGAGGTGGGCGTCTCAGCTTGATCTGTCAGAGCATGATGTCCTGGCTAGGGCTATTGAGCTCATGTGGACCTCTACTTTCCTGGAAGGAGCTCTCCTGCACTTTCCAAATTTGAAGAGGCTTCGAGTTGAGTCGAACCTTCCAAGTTCAAAGCCTCTGGGCTCAACAGCCTTGGAAGCTTGAACTTCCGACAACTTCCCTTATGATCTGCCTTCATCACATACCACCTTACTGCTCAACCGCCCTTGAAGTATATGGTTTCACTCTCAGTCAAGTTCAATCAACAAGGCCCCTTCACAGCTACTTCCTGCAGTCTTGAAGGCCTCCAATATGGGCAATATAGTATCCGTTCTCCGTCGACCTCGTGGTAAGCCCTCATCCCGCAGCAGCCTATTGTATGACTGAGTGGCTGAACTAACAATCCCATCATTTCACAGTTCTCCCGCAAATAACAATAGTTCTCACCTGGGTCTCCCCTAAAGACATCGTCTCTCTTGTGCAAGCCACTAAGACCCTTGAATTCAAGCGACGGGAATTTGGCAATCGGGTAGTCATCGCGACATCCGCCACTGATGTACCAACCACATCGTCCACGGACCAACCTGAAGAGAAAGACACAGAGCAAATTGCGGACCGATTTCCTCAAGGCTATATCTACTATCTTCAGACCAAGGCACTGGACCGACCTATTCACTATAAAAGCCACATCCGTCTCATCGTCCTGGACCCTGGACAGCAAATCATTGCGCCTGGGGTCCAAATCATGGGCCCTCCGGCTAGAGGCTTCCTCGTAGGTCTCGATCCGGTTCTCCCTCCAAACCTTCTCCAAAAAATCAACGTCTGTGACAACACGCTGTCAGGGACTCAATCGCTGGGGTATCTTCTGTCTGGGGTTGACCAGTTTGCCGACTGGGAGAGTAGCTGGGGCGAGCTCATTCACTGGTGGCTTCTCCTGTTGAGACCATATTGGTTTTCGATTGCGTTTGCTTTGGTGTTTGTTCCACTGCTTATCACAGTGTTGGTCATTGTGTTTGCTCGTTAGGCTTTTCCCTTGGGGCAATTGGCTAGCTAGCTTGATATTCTTTCGCCGCGGGCTTCCATGCGACTGCATCGGAGTTTTCAATGCTTCGAATGATGGAAGATTCCGATGTTTCAGTCGGAAACTGTCATGATGTTTGGTTTGATCGTCTATGCAACGTTCTTTTTGTCGTGTCAAGGTGGACCAAATGGTCCTTCGCACGTTATAAGAGTTGAACTCTTCTCATTTCCAATTTTCTTGGAATAATTCGTTACTTTATCAATATCACCCTTCGAGCCCGGCTAGGAGGTTTTCTATTAGAGTATTTTTCAAGCTCAGAGTGTAGATAACAAGCTGTGATAGTAACCAAGAAACAGTCTTTGTTTATAGAACAATAGACAAAGTCAACCCAGCCGATCTCTATAACTTCCAAACATGAAATCCGACTGGGAAATATCTAAGCACAAGAAATAAAAGAAGAAACATGAAGTTTCAGAGTATAATCGAAATGGCTAATAACAAACAGAATATCTATAATTTTTTACGGAATGGCCAGCTCAGGGTTTAGCCATTGAGATTGAAGCGTCAAATGGTGATGAGCGACCTACGATGACGCCTCAAGGGTGCCAGGTCGTTCTGTAGCCTCGGCGGGCTTGACATCGTCCATTCGCTTGTTCTGGATGAGTCTCTGTAATTTGTCATGTTAGATGATGTTTCAAATAACCAGTGAGCATGGGAACGTGAGATGAAACATACCAGCAAGTTCCGCAACAAGACAACAATGGTGACCTTTCCAATAGAGGGAACGAAGAGCGAGGCCTTGTCTCGGACCTCGTGAGGGAAGTTCTATATCAGAATTGTCAGCAACCACAACCTCTTAACCAGACTCGAAAGCACAGAAAAAACATACCTTCTCGCTAGAGAAGTTGAGACAAACAGCACCCTCACGCAAAAGGCTGGTATCGAACTTGTACTTATCACTGGGCACACCAGTAATAACCACATCACAAAGCGGCACAACATCCTTCAAAGTCTTGCCCTCAAGATCAACAACCTCATGCATTTTCTTCTGCAATCCCTCACCACGAGTAAACTTCTGCACGCCAGTGATATCAACCGAGTAAACACAAGCGCCATCATTAGCGAGCAGAGCCGCAAGCGGACGACCCACGACCTCAGAGCGGTTCACGACACAGATAGTGTGTCCGAAGAGACGGTTTCCGTAAGGCAGGATGGTGTTGTAGATGTTGAGGTACTCGAGGATCTTGATGTTGGCCAGGGGGGTGCAAGGCAGGATAGACTTCTGGCGCTTGGCCTCGCCGTCCAGGAAGCGGATGTTCTGGTACATGTTGAAGATGTAGCGGTGGCTCAGGCCCTCGACGTCTTTGGTCACATCTACGATCTGCTGCAGGTACTGGTCCTGGCGGGTGCCGAAGATGGGGTAGTAGACGATTATGCCGTCAACGTTGTTGTCGGTGTTTGCGTTCAGGATGGCTTGTTCGATGTCGTCGCGGGAGACTTCGCGCATGGAGTACTTGAAACCGCTAAGTAAGGCATTGCGTTAGTAGGTTATTTCAATTGAATTGTTGGCTGTGCTTTTGCGCTCGTTTGGTTGGCTTTTTTGTGTTTTTTTGTTTTTTTTTTGGACCGAGGGGTATGTATGAATCATACTAAGTACCCCACCATTCATCCCACCAAAGAAGCCATTGGAGCCATTGAAGCTGGATAATATCAAAATAATGTAGAGACTCACTTCTCCTCGCAGGTCTTCTGCGTCATCTGCGCGTACATCAGCGCGGCAGGGTCATTATTGGCCAGCAGGCCGACCAAGTGAGGCGGCTTCTCGAGGGTCTTAAGGCCCTCGTGGACTTCAGTGAGGAGGTGGTTGGCAACGTGCTTGCTCAACATCACCTTGCAGGAGGAGGGGGGTTTATCAGTGGGGGCGGACATGACGGCAATGAGGCGACAATAACAATATAATCAGTAACAGAGAAAATGGTGAAGTTGCTTGCACGCGGGGGACTTGGTGATCTCCGGGAAAATCTTGATCGCTTATCGATAACAGATCGGCTGCCGGTTTCGGCCTTTACTACCGAGTGTCGCGACTTTTGAATGATATAGGAGTGTAGAGTATCAGGTATAAGAATCTAGATGGAACTAAGGCTTATAGCTTTCGCTGTCAGTGAATTTGGGTATGTGAAAATTCGGCTTGGTGCGTTGAGGCATACGGCCAACCCGTCCGCATCCGTCACATACGAATACACCTTTACAAGTCGTACAAAACAAAGCTAAGATCTACAATTACAATATAAAAGATTGAACAAATGAAAATAATTGCGGTCCAACATGGAGAGCATAAGGAGACCAGACGGAATTAGAACGGTCGTCCACCCATCTCGCGCCCCGATGCGCGGGTAAAATCTAAACGTACAGGATATAATCACATTTTGGCAGACCAAAGTCATTTGAGTTCTCACTCGAACAGCACTACGGGAAATCCTTGGTCCGCCCCCCAGGATCATGCAGATAATTACATCGCTACATCCAGGGGCAGACTAGGATCTCCTGCCAGGCACCGGCACCAAGAAGAACAGAAAAACAATGGGCTCAAAATTGTACAGGCTATCTTGTCTATACACATAGAGTCAAGAAAACAAAGCCGACCACGAAGGATCATCCGAGTTATTTCTTCACTTATGCGTTGAAGGTGGAGTTGAAGGCGGAAATGGTCTTCTTGAGGGTGGCCTCAGTCTCCTTGGAGACCTGGCCCTCCTTCTCGATGGTGGCCTGGATCTCGGGGTAGGTGCTCTTGAGGTGGGAAAGGAGCTCAGTCTCCCAGGTGAGGATCTTGTCGACGGGGATGGTGTCGAGGAGACCGTTAACACCAGCGAAGATCAGGGGAACCATGTCGGTAACGGCCATGGGGGAGTACTGCTTCTGCTTGAGGAGCTCGGTGAGACGCTCACCACGGGCAAGGGTCTGCTTGGTGGAGGCATCGAGATCGGAACCGAACTGGGCGAAGGCAGCGACCTCACGGTACTGAGCCAAGAACAGCTTGAGGGAACCGGCGACCTGCTTCATGGCCTTGACCTGGGCGGCGGAACCGACACGGGACACGGACAGACCGACGTTAATGGCGGGACGGATACCCTTGTAGAACAGCTCGGACTCCAAGAAGATCTGACCGTCAGTGATGGAAATGACGTTGGTGGGAATGTAAGCGGACACATCACCACCCTGGGTCTCAATGATGGGCAGGGCAGTCAAGGAACCAGCACCGTGGGTCTTGTTCATCTTGGCGGCACGCTCGAGGAGACGAGAGTGCAGGTAGAAAACGTCACCGGGGTAGGCCTCACGTCCGGGGGGACGACGGAGGAGCAGAGACATCTGACGGTAGGCAACGGCCTGCTTGGACAGATCATCGTAGATGATGACGGCGTGGCGGCCGTTGTCACGGAACCACTCACCCATGGCGCAACCAGTGAAGGGAGCAATGTACTGCAGGGGGGCGGCCTCAGAGGCAGTGGCAGCGATGATGACAGAGTACTTCATGGCATCCTGCTCCTCAAGGGTCTTGACGAGCTGAGCGACGGTGGAACGCTTCTGACCAACGGCGACGTAGATACAGTAGAGCTTCTCCTGCTCGGTGGCGTTCTTGCTGTTGTTCCAACGCTTCTGGTTGAGCATGGTGTCGAGAGCGACAGCGGTCTTACCGGTCTGACGATCACCAATGATCAACTCACGCTGACCACGGCCAATGGGGACCATGGAGTCGACACACTTCATACCAGTCTGCACGGGCTCGTTGACGGACTGACGGGGCAGAATGCCGGGGGCCTTAAGCTGGGCACGGCGCTTCTCCTTGGTGTTAAGGGGACCCTTGCCATCAATGGGGTTACCGAGAGCATCGACGACACGGCCGAGCAGCTCGGGGCCGACGGGGACCTCGACCTAGATGTGGTGTTAGAATTATTTCCAAGTGGCTGATGGATTCAGGGTCCAATATCAGAATGAACCCAGGGGTCGGGTTTTGAAAGGCTTACAATCTCGCCGGTACGCTTGACGGTCTCACCCTCCTTGACGAGACGGTCGGAACCGAAAAGCACGACACCGACCTGGCCGGCCTCGAGGTTCATGCACATACCCTTAACGCCGGAGGCGAACCTGAAGACGAGTTAGTTTTCGGGTCTGGGTAATGCCAAGACTTTGGGGGTTCACATACTCGACCAGCTCCTCAGCCTGGACGTTGGACATGCCGTGGACACGGGCGATACCATCACTATTCAAAGCTCAATTAGTTTCTGTATCGGTATTTTGTCGATTGTTGATGTATAATGGCGGATTCGATGGAATTGAAGCCGGGGACCGAATTTTTTTCGCGCCCCCAGCCGCCTAGGGAGAATCGACGTACCCGACCGACAGAACACGACCGGTCTCAGCGAGACCAGCCTCCTCAGAGACACCACGGATGCGCTGCTCAAGGATGGAGGAGACCTCGGTAGGGGTAGCCTTGGCCTCGGAAGCGTACGAGCGAACGCCGTTGAGAGGACCGGCAGCAGCCGCGCGGACCTGTAATTGACGAAAAACCTGTTAATGACCATCCCAGAGAAGGACAATGTGTCCAATTGATTGTTGAAGTATCGTAGTCGAGGTATAAGGAGGCATGAGCATCGATCGAGCTCAAGATTGAGATGAAGGATGTCGAACTGGCGATGGACGAAGGCGGCTGGGATGGGATAGACTCACCGAGGCGATGCGGCCAGTGGCCGAAACAGCCGCGACGGAGCGGCTGGACGACCGCAGAGCGTTTCTGAACATTGTGAAAGGGGGTTCAGAGGATGGGAGGATGAATTCTCTGAGGAAGAGATGTAATTGGGGAGAGAGAACGGGAGAGGAGAGAGGATTGTGGACGGGAGGGAGAGCTTTGTCGTCGGGGGGAGGATTGGATTCTCAGGACTCGCGCTAAACCGTTTCGGACGCTGGGCCCTCCGAGGTGGCCCTAGTGTGAGGCCACGGTGTATCTTGTACGCTTTTATTTTTACTACAATGTTATATATTTTTGTTTTATTTCCTTCTATATTTCTATTTCTATAAATTCCCCTGATTTTTTAAACTATTATAGAAGCCCATAATGAGTCAATTCCATTTGGTATTGCCGACCGGAAGAGTGTGCCACGGGCCACTGGCCCTTCCGTTTTTTTCTCTTCTCGGATCGGCGGAATTCCTGGTCAGGTGAATCGCTTATGTCATGGCTTTCGTCACGGCAACCGAAGACGGGTGCTTCTATACTTTGGTTATGTTATGTTATGTTATTGTTATTGTTGTTATGCTCTTATGTTCTTATATTTCCAAGTCTCTATACTTGCCAATTATGATACTACCATACAACAAAGTCACAAATTGGCCAAAACAGCAACATTTACTCCACGGAAAAGGGATAAGTACATCCCGAATTGATCAAAAAGACAATGCAAAATAACACTCGCAAAATCATAAAAAAAAGAAAGATAGCAATCGCTTTGCTAATAACAGGGATATGAATCAACGCGCTCACGTAACCACTGAAGCTCTCAACATCAACCAAAACAACCCGAGAACATATAGCCCTCGGTCTTGGCGATCAATATCTCCCCTTACTGCATGCTGCACGCACAAGCCAGCATTTACTGCTCCGATTTGCCCTTGCCCTTTCCATTCTCATTCCCCTGCTTCCGGAACTTCAGGATCTCGAGCTCAACGCCCTTCTCAAACCGCTTCTTTAGTTCGGAGCGATATCCGAAGAAGAACAGAACCTCCATCCAGACGAATAGCGGCGCAAGAAGAAGAGCCTGGACAAGATTATCCAACAAGGCAGGGGCACGCTTCTCAAACACGCCGTGTCCGACAAACTGCGCCAGCCATGACACAATGTGGATGCCCCCGGCCCAGTAGTTCACGGTGCTACCGTACGTGCTAAGGAAGTAGTTTCCGTAGTATGCAGCTGTGATCACGGCGGGTGCGAGTAAGCCGCCGGCTATGGGCTCCAGGAGGATATAAAATGTGGCGTAGATAAGAGCGCCGATTGTTCCGGCGTTCGCGGGCAGGTATTCGATCCGGACGACGTCCGGAAGTGTGAAGAAGGGCGGGCAGTTACAGGCCTTGGGTGTCACTGTTAGTACCTTTGTACACTGGGGATATCTTATTTGCTTGAAAAATGCCGAGGTTCACGTACGAGGACGATGCCGGTGAACAGTAGGATTGGGACGCAGGTGATGTGGATTGCGACGTTGACCTGCGCTGTTAGTGAACGCTGTATACTATTGCCGATGGGAGTAGGACGGATGTACGGGATTGCTATGATAGGCTCCGTACTAGATCACAAGTCAGTATAGTCCCGAGGTCGTTTTGGGAGTTCCAAGGTTGGACGTGGATGCTTACGAATAGCAACTGTTTCTCAAGATTAAGCGCCATCTTGCCGTGTTGTGAACAAAAAGATGGGGAATTCTGGGGCGGGAGTTTTGCGGGGGATGGAATCAGGCAAATGGCATCATCTTTATCGGAAAGCGTTGAGTGGTGCAATTGATATTCAAGGTACTGGCCCTGCCGTCATGTGCCCGAGCAAGACGTTGGGTCTTGGCAACGTAACGGTATATATGGGCTCTAGGGGTGGCAACCACGATGCACAGGCCTATCAGACTATTATTATAATTTTACTGAGATGTCTTGCATTGAATGTACTGGATTTTCTAATTATTATTGGGGGACCTCTCCGTATCTTATTAAATTAAATGGTCGTTAACGTTTATGTTGTACTATGTAATACTGTAATGTCTAGTATGGAATGTCTCATTGAGGCATTGGACTAGATTTTCTGATGAGTTTGCATGTTTTTCTTTCGAGATAATTAAGTTGGGGAATGGAGATCTAGTAGGGGCCTCTAAGATGTCAATTTAGACCTTGGTTACAATATGCATCTCGAAATTATAGATACTAGTCGGCGGATATATATAGTTCGAAGATAGATACCCAATCCAATTTTGAAACGCAATAACCAGTCAAAGTCCACTAGGCAAGGGTATAGATAGCATAAAAGTAGTATTATAAATTGAACTAAAGGCACAAGGTCAGAAAATTCCATTATTTACTTCTCTATAGGTTGTCAAACATCCACAGTCTGATATAGATCATCCAATCTCTTTTCATGTAAGAAGCAATCCTCCCACCGGTCAAGGCTAAATTACTGTCAAGCGCACTTATTGACTAAATATTCCAGTAAGTAATGTATCGAATGAAAAATGAAGTTTCAATGACTCTAAACGTGCAAAAATCAAGCCGACTTCCCACCGATCAAGAATCGTACCACGTGACTCCACCCGCCCAAACTTGGCCCACCAGACCGGAGATGCTCTTACGAAGGGAAAGCTTGCGCCTGCAGCAACTGTATCTGCCTCCTCGTTCAAGATCCAAGGCAGATACAACTTCTGCCACTCCCACGGGTACTCGGATCTCATTTCGCTCATTTCTGGCAGTTACATCTTGTTTGTGCTTTTACCGTTGCAGGTCATGAGCGCGTGGTCGAAAACGCCGTCCCTCGACCTCGATTGACAGCATCACTGTCCCGAAAGCGACTTGAATATTTCCACTCTGCACTTCGGAATTAGCGCATTTTCATCCAACCACAACCGCGACGATGTTCTTCCTCAAAGAAGAGACCAAGGTGATCTCCATGCACCCGTCCTATTTCGGACCCAACATGCGAGAGTACCTCATCGGTCGACTCAACGAGGAGGAAGAGGGACGGTGCACAGGTGATCACTTTGTGATCTGTGTCATGGACATGGTTGATATTGGCGAGGGGCGGGTGATGCCTGGAATCGGACAGGCGGAATACACCATCAGATACCGTGCGATCATCTGGAAGCCATTCCGTGGCGAGACGGTATGCGCTTGGGATCCGAGATTATCGCCTTTGAGAATTCCTGCTGACTGAGCCTAGGTCGATGCCATTGTTACCTCCGTTAAGCCCACCGGTATTTTCACCCTGGCAGGCCCATTGTCAGTCTTCATTGCGCGAAAGGTATGTTTTGTTTGCTCTGACCTTGGATCCTGGAGTTTCATTGCTGACAGCCCATCAGAACATCCCCTCCGATATCAAGTGGGAGCCCAACACCGTGCCACCCCAATACACTGATCATGCCGATCAAGTGATTGAGAAAGGAACCAGCCTGCGGCTGAAGATTCTCGGTGTCAAGCCCGACGTGGCTGCTATCAACGCTATTGGCACCATCAAGGAGGATTATCTTGGGTAAGTCGTTCGAACCGCGCCCAGCACTATGACCTTTCTAACCCGGTTTTACTTCTCAGACCTTTGTAATGAGACACGATTGCAACACATACCCACCCTTTTCACCAATACGATAATCTACCATGCTATCTATCGTCCCCCGAAGATACGGCGAGTGCTTGGATGGCTTTACTGCCTAACAGGAAAAAAAAAAGAATTGGCCGGTCAGGAGCTGGAGTTTGACAAGTCTCTGCTCGGTACACATGCCATACTTTTTTGACTTGAATGGCTATACTTCAATGAAAGACCGATCATGGCTTCTACCCGAGCGTGTCTGATTGGGATCGGCATTGCAGACAGCTAAGATGACTTTCGACTCCCCAGAGATCGTGTCAACTGCTGAGGCATTTCCAGTACTTCTGAAATGTACAATGTACATCAATTTGCATGTCTAACCCTGTGCAATCCATACCCCCTGTAGAGGCTGAAGCCTTTAAAGTGTATTCTCCAGATTCTCCAGTTGCCGGAGGGACGCCGAGCCAAGCCCCAAGCCTAGGCCCCTTATGGTGAAACACTGGCGTGTTTTCAGATTATTTCAGGGATCGAGTACTCCGTATTTGTATTTTCTATGCATTTTCACTAAGATCAATATTATTATCATTATTATTCACGGAGTAAGTATATTTGCATATATATATATGCAAGGTACCGAGGACTAACTCGTTCTAGCGTTTCCCCTGTATATTGTTTTGTACGTTGTACTCCCGCACTTGGTCGTAGAACGCTTCCCTCTCTTTCTCTTTCTCTCTCTTCTTTTAATAGTTTCTTGGTATCTTCAATCTCGTCTAGCTTACTTCTAGAGTATTCTAGAGTAACTATCTCTTCTTGAATATCTTCCTTCCTTACAACTCCCCCTGTCCCCATACGGTTGACAATGTCCTACTTCAAGACCGAATACCAGCGGTTCCTGGATAACCCCAGGACTGCTAAATTGGCCGACGATGTGTCTATGATCTATGTTCCTACCACGACGAAGTTCGAGAAGGCCGACAATGTCATCACTCATGTGTTGAAGAATGCCAAGGTGGTCAAGACGAAATCCAACAAGGTCATCAGCGCCATTGAAGGATCAGACTCGCTATGTCTAGACATGGAAACAACCCTCGAATTCACTGAGGGTGGTGGGGTTTATCTCCCCTCGCTGGACGATAATTTCCTGGCCGACCGTGTCGCGACTTTCCCCACGGTAAATACCCCGACGCGCGTCGCGTTATCGAAAGCTAATGCATCATCCTGCAGGTTCACATCGTCCACTTCGACGCCAATCAATTGATCAAGCAGATCCGAATTTACTGGGATCAGGCCTCATTGCTGAAGCAAGTTGAGGTAATTGGAGCGCGCGGACGCCAATGGCCCATTCGTGATGGAAAAGACCAACTCCGTCTCCTCAAAACCGCCGAGACCGCGCGTTTGGCACCCTCGCAGCCTGCTTCTCAGAACGTGGAGACAACACTCCCCCAGCGCCCCGCATCCCCAGGCAAGCGCCATATCAGAGATCCCCACGCCGCTGGGTCCTTGACCGAGCTCCTCTCGCCGAGCAAGGATACAAACAAACCTGAATCCACTAGCAAGAAATATACCCAAGACCCCTATGGAGCGGGCTCCTTGAATGAGCTTCTGTCCCCGACCAAGAAGGGCCCCGCTTATGTGCCTCCCCTTGGGTCCTCGTCTGGGCGACCTGCCACGCGCAACTTCAGCGATATCTTCCTGAAGGATGACGACGACTCCCCTTCGAAGCCCCAACGCCGGGCTCCCCGCGTCGACGAAGAGGGCGAAAAGGCCGGCACAGGGCCCGTCGACGAACAGCGTAATTTCTACAAAACCGACCCCGCAAAGTACAGCCACTTTGATATCGCCGGCGGTGAAACAGTCGGCAAAGGGCCCGTCGACGAAGACCGTCATTTCTACAAAACCGCCCCCGGAAAATACAACCACTTCGAGATTGGCGGCGACAACACGGAGCGCGAGACAAAGGCAGAAGTTAGACAGGCCAACACCAAACACGCAACCCACTGGGACTTCGACGACATCGAGACCCCTGTGAAGGGCTCGCGCGCACCACGCGGACAAGAAGTGCGCCACTTTGGCTTCGGCGATAACGAAGATGGCAATGGATCCCCCCAAGCCAAGCCAAATGTGACCAAGCCCCGTCGCGACGTAGACCGCCATTTCGAGCTTACCGATGATGAATCCGAGGACGACGGACGGATCATCAGCTCATTCGGCGGCCGCGGCAAGCGTCTCTACGAGAACCGCCTCTTCGACGACGAAGGCCAGCCTAAGCCCTCCGAGCGCGAGCAGAAGGACAAGGAGGACCAGCCCACCCATAACCATGATGCGCACAATAAGATGATGGAGTCCCACTGGGATAACTACGATGAACAGTCCCCCCAACTGCCTACCCAAAAACACACCCAGCACAATAAGATGATGGAGTCCCACTGGGATAACTACGACAATGCATCCCCTGAGCCGGTTAGGAGAAATGCCACCGCGCAGCGCAACCCTCTTGGCCACAACCAGCCCACCTGGCACCATGGAGACCACAACTAAGTGAGCCAGCGCTGGTCTAGGGCTTAGCTTGATACCTTGTCAACGGAGAAGTTATCTCAGCTCCGTCTTCCCGTTATGCGACAAGCACGGCCGACTCTTCCCGATCACGAGCTATGTATCGATACCCGCATGAATTCTGGAAATTGTCCTTGAAATTGCAAAATAAATCAAAAAAATAAGAGGCTGAAGGCTTCCCCTTTACTTCGCGCTTGAAAGTGTGCAGTTGGAGTCGAGTGTGGAATGCCTGGCCTGCGTGTACTATCTTCAACCCTTTGCCTTCTTGTTTATCTTCTTATTTTACTTTTCTTTTTATCTTTCTGTACCTTGCCCTCAAAATGTTATTAGTGTATAAGTTTATTTCCACGAGAGCGGGATTCGTTTATCTGTTAATCTGTTTATTTATGGTGTTATACTTGGATTTCTCCAGCCTCTTTCTTCCCTCAGGTAGTGTAGAACAACATAGTAACTACACCATATACTACTGTGATCGTAGAAGATGTTATCGTTCAAAGATTCAATTGAGTCTCATCAAGTCACTGTCCAAAATAGTAAACTAGATGTCAGTCTCCGATATCCAAGTATCGAAGCTGATCGAGACAGAATACCTCAAACGATATTTTCAAAAGACCAAGGCTGAGCGAGCGAATGTAAGTAGGTTTGCCAGGTCCAAAATGTGATATGCTTCATTCCTCCACCAAATTGTTCCACTTCCACTTCCAATTCCACTTCCACCACCAAATAAATCCAAGGCAAATTATGTAGATTCCAAATAGATCCCAAAAGATACGCAACGGCGCATAGATCTCAAATCTGAAATAGATCCTAAACCACGGACTCAACACCTAGATGTAGAACATAGTCTCTGCGATATTAGGATGGATCTTGACATCTACCATACGGGACATATCCGCCGTTCCCTCAGTGCCAGTGGTACTACCACCAGAAGCATCATGCGACACAGGGTCGAAAAGATCACTCAAGAAGCATCGAGCACGCGTGCAAACCAAATCGGCATAGTACGCCGGCGGACAGACACTAACCGCCTTCGTCGCACGACCGAACATGTAGCACATCTTGTGAGTGAGGTCTTGGAGGACATCAGCCGCGCCGGGGCCGGAGCTGTTAGCCGGGTAGCGGGGGTAGAAGATCTCATCCCAGACGGTGAAGTAGTGAGCAGGACGGGCAGTTCCCTGGAGGGCGGAGTGAGCCTGCAAGAAGAAGTCCCAGTCGCGTGCCTCGGAGACGCCGCGGTCGACGACGGTTCCGGGGATTGGGTTCTCGCGGTTCGAGTCCTGCTCGGTTGTTGGGTAGAAGCGGGTGTTGTGGCGTTTTCCGACGACGACGATGGCTAGACGTGGGAGGCCTTTCTTTGTCTGGTCTGCTGGGTAGGTTTTCTTGCATGCTTCTTGCAGCAGGGGGAGTTCCTCGTCGATGACTTTGTTGTATTGGCCCTCTGAGACGCCGTCGCGGTAGACGATGATGTTCTCCGGGAGGGATCTGTTGAGTTTCTGCCAGTGCCGGAGACGCGAGGCGAGGAGGTTTTCTAGATCGGCGACCATTTCTTGACGGGCGCCTTGGACGCGGATCTCGGCGGGCCATTGGGCGAGGGTTGCGTCGACCGAGGCGACGATGCCTGCCACACTGGGGGCTGTGCTGGCGGAACCCGGAGACGGGTGGGTTACGTCGATGCCGACTAGCATTGTTTTGCCCTCGGAGATGATTCCGAGGTCGGCGGTGCGCAGGGCTTGGTTGGCACCGCCTAATTTGAGGTTGATTTTCAGGCCGACATTGGCGTTGTACTGGTCGTTGGAGTTCATGAGCTTCTCCGCCAGGACGTTCACGTTGCGGATTCCGCAGCGGACGTCGCAGACTTGCTTGACGCAGTTGTAGATACCAGTGTCTTTATTGTAGAGTATACCCAGGATGAAGACTGGGTTGTGCTGTTTTTGGAGATCGACGACGGCTTGCTGGATCTCGATGGCGTCGTTCTTGCCGGTCAGGACAACACGCTTTCCGGGCTTGTGGGGGTCCACGGCCATTCCCATGTCCCTGAGTGTTTTTCTGAAGCCTTCCAGAGATCTGTTGAGATGATCCGGCTCTTTAAACACTGGGTGGGAGCCCTGCATGTCAACATAGAGATAAGTCCAGGATTTCATGGCTGCAGGCTTAGAGAACTGGATTTGGCGCATGTTCCAGCTGCCAGATTGAGTCCTGATTTCCTTGGTCCTGTTTCCGTCTTTGTAGTAGACATTTGGGGCGGGGAGAACACGTCCAGGAACCGTGATCAGCTCGGTGGACGAGTTAACACCGAAAGCAGACTTTAAAAGAAAGGTTAGATATATTGAGAAGATGTTTGGAGTGAGGGAATGCTTACTAGGGTGTCATTCAGAGGCTGGCCGAGTCCAAGCACACCCACGCCCTTGGTAACAATCGACTGGGCGTTCTGACCCGGCTTTCGACCCATAACGGCGAACCGGAGCATACTGGCTGTCTGGTCACCAGAAAGCTTGGATTTAGCTGGCTGACCAGGCTCGACTTCGCAGACCTCAACGGGGAGATAGACAGGTCTGTCACGAGACCCGACATTCACCACTGGGTTGGTTGTATTCAAAATCATGTTGTACTCTAAGAAGGAAGTTAGTATAACGCGAGGAAGAAGGGAGTCGAAGGGGAAAAAAGAAGGAAAAGTGAAGAACAACGGACCTTTTTTGAAGAAGTCCGCAACGGTGATATAGCGACCAGCTTCCGCAGGACCAGCCCGGGGCGCTTTCTTCCCCTTCTTCCCCTTGGACTCGGGCGCACTAGGCACAGCAACGGACTGAGGGCTAGATTCAGCCAGGAAGAATTGCACTTCGTGGGGACCAGCGCCATGGCAGGCAACCTTGGGTGGGTTGCAAGATGATCTACCATCACTGCGGTTGGCGAGGCCATAGATAGGCTTGACGCGAGGTCGGGCCTGACCGCGACTGTTCTTGCGAACGATATGGGTGATGCGAACGCGTAGGCTCTTGAGGAACTTTTCCAAATGATAAGAGTTCCTGCGGCCGTAGGCTTGGATCACATTGGCTAAAGGCCCTTCATTGTAACAGGCTAGATATTTGACCTGGACGTTCAAGAGCACACGAGCAGTCGCGGCACGCACACTGACAAAGAATCCACGCAGAACGGATAGACCACCGCCAAGGTTGAATGATTCCATGGTATCCTGACGAAGACTGTAGTGTCTGTTGGCTCCGACAGAGACGACCTGGTCGTCTGTCTTGGGGTGGTGTCCCATGATCATGTTGAGAGCAGCTACAATCTCAGACTTGGATTCAAGCATGGCACCGGCATTGGTGGAGGTCAGGTAATTAACCAGGTCAGCAGGATTGACCTCGCCAGTATACTGGCAGGTAACCTGGTGCACCCGGGGTGGATCCAGGTAGTCATCATCCATGTGCTCCTTGTATCGGACATCGAATTTACCCTCGGTCAATTTGACACACGAGACCAGGGTAGACCGGAAGTCTGACGCAATACTGTTCTTCTGTTGAGGGAAGTGCTCCTCCAACAGTAGACGGACAATGTGTCGGGCCTTCTTGCCCACCGGGGCAGCTCGGCCTGCAGAGTCGGCTGCAATGGAAATATGGTAGCGGAACAGCCGCTTGTTAGGCAGGGTCAGCGGCAGGTAGTTCGCATACAAAGTCACCGGCCTGCCAGCTGTGCCGTAACCAGGACGTTCGGGATATTTTGCCTGTCTGGGGGTCTTCTGGCCGCTCACAGCGAGAGCTTTGGCGAGTTCATTTTCGGTCTTGGTGACGGTGGTATTGGGAGGTGGGATAGGTTCGCCTTGTCTATAAGCAAACGATTAGCTTTGTTCAATGAGCATCGAAGAGTGAAAGGCAAACCTGAAGATAGGTGGGCCAAAGTTGGTAGGACCTCCACGCCCACCACCACGGCCGCCGCGGAAATCGCCCCTACCACGAAAATCACCACGACCGCGGAAATCACCTCCACCTCTGCCACGACCTCCTCGATCACCCCCACCTCTAAAGTCGCCTCGACCCCGATCACCACCTCGGCCTCGGAAATCACCCCGGAAGTCTCCACGATTTCCATCGCCTCTACCGGCTGGGCGGAAGGCTAAATCGCCGCGACTTTCTCCCCGACCGCGGCCTCGATCGGCACCGCGACCTCGATCACCGCGACCTCGATCGCCACGGCCACGATCACCACGGCCACGATCGCCTCCGCGATCACCACGTCCACGACCCCGATTTTCACTCATAATAAGATAAACCTGGATGAAGATGGCTCTATGGGTTTCATATCAAAATAAAAATGGGAAGATAGTGGGGAATAGGGGAATAGGGGAATGGGGAATGGGGAATGGACGGCTTATTAAGTATTTAGAGTGCTGTGGACATCCGATGTATCGTTTGTTCACGTTCTTTATTTGCTGTGCTAGCAGCTAACAGGGGTGTATATAGTGTGTGTGGCTATACGGAGTAGTGTGACTATCAATTGGGCACTATTTATATACATCGATGTAAGTAGTTGTACGGAGTGTATGGATGATGTGACTATGACACTTCCTTATCTCTTCCATCTACTTACACTTATAGAGACTTATAGATTGCCATGTATGTACTTATTGAGATAGCAATAGGATCATTTTTCACAAAACGGCTTTTTTTTTAAGAAAATAAAACAAGAATAGATAACCTAGCTTTACCGTTACTGTTTGTTGTCCCTGCGGTCGACCGGTAGATATACATGCAAGGATAGGGTAGCGGTGTATATCCAGTGTATTTTTGTGATAGGAAAAAGAACAATATATTTCAGTTACGCATGTATTTCCGTTGGCTGCTGTAGCTCTACGTGTACATTCGAATAAATGCGAAGACAATATGAGCTGGAGGATTACCTGTGCTAGGATATCCAATGATTACATCCGTAGCTCAGCCTTGCAGCTCAGCCTCGCCCTAATGTAGGTCTGGCGTGTTGTAGCCTAAATTTTGGTGTTGGTTGGTGTTGGTTGGTGTTGGATATATCTATAGGATGACACCATAATTACTAGTGCCTCAGGGCCACTAACCCATTAATATCGAAAGTCCGCCTAGGGCCACAATGTAAGAGAAAAAGAAGCCATATCCATGGAAAATATGGGACATGATACATAATCTTTAGACAGGTTAACAAGACGTCCATACGTTTGAATATTAGTCCTCCGCAGTTTTCCTCTCTTCAATCCAGCACTTATACGATGACCAGGTGAACCAGCCTACGTCAAGTTCCCACGGCTGACCAGGCTTTTCGAAGCGAATATCGAAATACCGCACCACCTCAGGGATGACTTTGGCCATCTCAAGCAGACTGATATTCTTGCCGAGGCAGACACGCGAGCCACCGCCGAACTAATGTCCCAATTAGTATTTACGCAAAACAAAAGGGTCTATCGAGCTATTCACGAACCGCAAAATTCAAGGCCGGATTTAGCGGTTTGTTTCCATCACCCTCGAGCCATCTTTCAGGACGGAATTCTCTTGGGGAATCAACCAGGTCTGGGTTATAGTGCAGTGCCCATGCACTGATGCCGACTTGTGTCTGAACGAAAGAGTTAATATCAACAGCACGACCGGTAATGCATAGTGAGATTTTAAAATACCTTTGCTGGAAAATTATATCCATTCAGGAGGACACCGTTTTCCGGAACCTCTCGTGGTAGCATTTGGGCCACGGCTGGATGCATCCTAAGCGTTTCCTCAATTATTCCTTGTAGATATGGCATCTGCTGTGCTTCTTTGAACATAGCCGGACTTGACAACAGTCCTGCCCGTTCGTGTAAATCAATCTCATCTCGGAGCTTCCTGAGGATCATCGGGTTTTGGTATACATAGTAGAAAACAGCACTTAGAGTGATGGCTGTAGTATCAGACCCCGCGATGACGTTCGAACCACAGGAACTGAAAATAGATCCTTGATCAACTTTCCCTTTCAGCTCTAGATCCATAAGTTTGGCGAGGAACGGTTCGGACTTTGGATTCTCATTGGGTTCAGAACCGACCTGGCGAAACCGTTGAACCGATTCTGCGATGAACCGGAACAACTCGTCATGGGGATCTTTCAGTTTTAACAACGCGGCAATCCTGGTAAGTACAACATGTAAGAAAGGAAAGGGACCAAAGGTCATCTGATGTTCTGTGGCCACTTTGATTTTCTGTAGGAACCCGGTGCGATCCCTTTCTGTCTCCATCATGTTGAAATTCCTATCCATCTGTGACGTTGTTAGCGACGGAATTGTTGCATTTGAATTTTTGCATGAGAAGACGGACTGTGATATAGCCAATGACATCAAAGGCGTAATATTGTAAGAAAACCGGGAGCTGAATGAGCCTTTTCGTCTGGGCGAATTCATGGAACTTGCGCATTAGCACAACGTTCATCTTTTCAACAGCTCCTTCGTAATTAACCATGGTCGACATGGTGTATAAGCCAACAATTTTTCTCTTATTTTCGGCATGAAGCCGCGCATCTTGCATGTTCAAGATATTCGGTCGATCTGGATGACCGGCCGCCGCGTACCAGTCCGACTTGGTAAATCCTGCAGTTGATCCGTATATAGTCTTCAAAGCTTCTGGGGTGTTGAAGCTATAGCGGTTTGGCGCAATGCGTACGACAGGTCCTAACGCATACAATCTCCAGTCAGCTCCTAAGGGTTGCAAAAATCGAGAAAGAGAGCCTTCGGACCATATTTCTCATGTAGTCGTATGTAGGTCTCGTTAAGACCTTTACTCCAAATGGCGTTTAGTTCCCAGAAACGCGAAAAACGAGCCAGGAAAGGACCCGGGACCTTTCTCAATGGAGAGAAGAAGAGATCATAGAATGCATGAGATAAGTTCCAGAGTCCAACAGCAATAGCAAGTCCAATGACTAGATGTAATATGTCAAATGGCATGTTCATAAAACGTTTTAGTTTCGTGTGCAAACGTCCTGTATATAATTGTGCTCTGTGATGAATGAGACTTGTACCAAATACCTCTAGGCGAATGGAGTTATTAATGGATCATGATGCACATAATCAAATGATCCGGGTAGGTTTTCTTGAATGCTGACTAGCTCGAGTAGTTAACTGCTAGTCTGCCTGTCAAATACGTGCTTATACGTGTATCTATAGTTGCGGGCTCCGCTCTTCGTTTTGCTTCCCCGCGATGTTTCAACTGCTGTATGCTCTATCATCTTCACTACCGATTTTGGCATTTCCCATTTATGCAGCCCTTCCATCGGAAGTAATCTACCGATTATTGACCTGCCGTGCCATTTGCTTCCTTTTGGTATCGTCTCTTACTTATATAGATTAACGGGGTTGAGGATAACCCGCGGGTGCCGCCGACTCGGATCCCGCGCATTCGGACGCCGCTCACTTGCATGTTGTTGTATGGGCTATGTACTTCGAAGCATACCTAACACCCCTAATGATTCACAAGGTAGCGGAGCTAAATATTAAGTATTTGCCGGTTAAGTAGACCAGATACTCAGCTATCTTTTCTTTCGATTATCTTAGGAAGTTCCGAGAGAGTTTCTGAGAGTTACATGTATAGGCAACTGAGACCACCACGCTTGATTGGTCCGAAACTACTATCTTCCTGTAAATAACGGAAGGATATTTCTGATTTTGTTAGCCACTTTACTTAGGCATAGTCAGATTAACACCCATGGCTCAAAAATGACCAAGTTGAAGCGAAGCACGGTTCGGTAAATGATCTAAAGCCAGTATCTTACTTTCTTGTTTTCTATAATTCCCCGGAAACTAAATACCTGATTGAATCTGGCTGAATATATAGGCAAGGTTATATCTTATGTATTGTGATCATAGTACAAAAAGGACCTAAGAAATGTATGTGGCCAGCACTGATTCCATCTACACCATCATCAGAAGCCATTTTTACTGCGTAAGAACCTGTTTCTGCCATGGAAGCGGCTCGGTGGCTACAAGCAGGGGTCCAATGTCACCTCCTTCTTGTCTCCGCTTTTGCCATGCTGCTATGTCTTTGTGATCGCCAAAGTTACCATGAAGTCCCAGGCGTAGCTTGAAGGGTAGATGAATGGTGGCTATGGGGCCGTTCTTCAGATTTTGGGCGTCTAGGACCACAATGTCGTTTCGTAAGACATCAAGATGGTTGAGGAACGCGATAATATATCCGTCACCTTCAATACCGCTATCCTTTGGGATGAAAGTGGGCTCTTGGAAGGTAGCTGTTGGACCCGCCCAATATATATCCCTCACCTTCTTATCCCAGGTGAAATGACCCAAGCAGTTGAATAAACCTCCTGCAGGTGACCCGCACTTTTCAAAGTCATATGGCCGACTTGGATCAATCAATGCCTGCCAGAAATGCAGATATTCCTTTGTAACAAAGCGGTCATCAATGCGTGAAAATTCACCATTGACGGTGTTCATGATCTCGGCGGGCGTGACACGCGTGTCACTCTTTGATTTGGGATCGAATATCCAGCGAACAGTTTGATTAGCCGTTTTGTTTCTCTCTGCCACTGTCCCAGCCATTGTATCTTCAGGAGGGAAGAAGAAGAAAACGTTTCCGGAAGCAACGGAGAGGTCGAAAACAATGTTTCCTTCCTCGTTCTCGTAACATCCTGCTACGTGCCCGTGGAAGCCTACATTTTCTTATGTTAGCTGATCTGCAAAATNTAAAAAAAAAAAAAAAAAAAAAAAGAAATAAGAAATATATTGTCTCACCATTGTCAGCTCTGAGCCATACAATATCTTCCGGCTTCCCACCCCTTCGAGGTACGATGCCGTAAAGCTGGTCCTCATTGGGATCCCATGCCAAGTGTCCTCCTCCTTTCTTCATCCGATCGAGAGATGATTTCAGAGGGGTCATGGGTAGAACCAAGTAGTTTTCGGATAACCCGCAATCATGGATCATGCCGCAGAATGGTGCTTTATACCACGCTTCCTCCGTCTTTTTACCGGTAGAATCGATGGTGTATACCACAATATCGCAAGATCCGTCATTCCCATTTCCGCCGGCCTCATAACCAAAGCAGACCATTTCTCCAGTGAGCGGGTCAAACTTTGGGTGCGCAGTAAAGGTCGGAGATAGCACTTGACCGTCAAAGTCATAACGCCCGATTGTTTCCAGGGAAATTGGATCCATCGCGAATGAAGGACCGTCTTCCTTTGTGGCTAGTAGGGCTCCTCTCCAGAAGAACACATTTGTATTGGCTGCTGTCCGGATAACTGCTTTGACAGATGGATTGTCTGTAAATGGATTGCGGTACTTGCCAAAAAGCGATTTTCTTTCCGCGCTTTCAGCTTTGTAGCGGTCCGTTTGCACATAGCGATGCTTGAAGTCCACCCGGCCGTTGGCGATACGAATTGCGCTCACACTTCCGTCACCATTGAAATGGATATCATCGGCGAACATTGGGGGGAAGCGATGATCTGGCTGCACGCGGTAGAAAGTGCCATCGATATCGATGGGAATTTCTCCATCTACCTCGCAGTCAAAGACATCACCTTCGAGACGAGATGGTTTATTGAAGCCTCGGAAAGTTTCGGTATTGGGAAATTTTACTTGGGGAGAGGCTCCATTCATGGAGCCAACGTCGGATGGATGTGTCATGATCGGGGAAGTAGAATAAGCTATGTGTTGTATATGGGATGTGATAATGGATGTGAATAATGGTGGCCAAGATATTGCTTGAGCATACTTGATTTTGTTTTATATACTGTGATGCATACTGTTCTTTCGCTGCTCATTCGTCCGTGCTTTGTCGGGAGCATAGAAGCGATAGCTCTATCGTCCCATCCTCCCACCCTCGGCACTATATTCATTTTGGATGGCATATACCATAAAAAGAGTCGCTATCATTCTGCCGAAAGGGTTCGCAAGTCCGAGTGCGGGGATATTTTGATTGATATGCGGGGATATTCATTTTCGTGTAAATTTGTCGGTTGTCAGGGCCCTTTGGAGCGCAGTTCCATTGATTTTAGAATGACTCGGTCAATATCTATATAATACCTTTCTCTCTATAGTTACACTCTGGATGAGTACTTTGCTTTCTATTTATTCATCCTTTACTTTACCTGTTGGACTTCTTTTTCTTTTATTTTCCTTATAGACCAAAATGACGGATCCCTCACCAACACTATCAAGGAAGCAGAAAGCTGCCATCTACAACTCACCCGGATCAGTTTCTATCGATATCGTGGAGACTGACATTCCTGAGCCGGGCCCAGATGAAGTTTTGATAAATTTGTAAGTTTTGTCTTTCATTGGATTGAAGCACGCAATATATTCCCATCGCCTTCTAAAGCTCACAACTCATCCATAGGACCCATTCTGGCGTTTGTCACTCCGATCTCGATATTATGACAAATAGTGTATTTTTATCCCACGTGAAATGATCTAAATTGGATTCAACTAACTAGTCGGTTAGTGTGCGGGCCTTCCACCGACTCCACAAGGACAAGTTGGTGGCCATGAAGGAGTTGGTCGTGTCGTGAAGCTGGGTTCGGGAACAAGGGGCTCTGGTATCAAGATTGGGGATCGGGTTGGTGTGAAATGGGTCGCAAGTGCTTGTGGGAATTGCGGTGAGATTATACTTCCTTGACGATATGCATTGATTTGACTGTTTTACTGACCTAAAAAATCGCAGAACCGTGCCAAATGCAATCGGACAGCCTTTGCTTTAACCAGAAGGTGTCCGGATTTTACACCCCTGGAACATTCCAACAATATGTCCTGGGTCCAGCAAATTACGTGACTAGGGTCCCAGATGGAGTAGAGTCTGCTCAGGTCGCGCCTCTACTCTGTGCAGGGCTTACTGCCTATTCCGCTCTCAAGCGCAGCATGACCGCACTGGGTCAGTGGGTTGTCGTCTCTGGCGCAGGGGGCGGACTGGGACACCTGGCAGTTCAAATTGCTAGTAAGGGGATGGGGTTACGTGTCATCGGCATTGATCAAGGACAAAAAGCCGATTTGGTCAAGGAATCAGGCGCCGAACATTTTGTGGACATTTCCAAGTTTCCTACAGATGATGACGGTGTGGCTATTTCAAACCACGTCAAATCTCTGACTGGAGAACTCGGGGCTCACACTGTCATTGTCTGTACCGCTGCCAATAGTGCATACAGTCAAGGGGTCCAATTTCTCAGATTCAGCGGTACACTGGTCTGTGTTGGGATCCCAGCAGGTGAACAAAAAGCGATAGCTAGCGCTTCTCCCGGAATTTTGATAGCGAAGCAATTGAAAATTATGGGGTCGGCAGTTGGCAATCGTGTGGATGCCGTTGAGGTGTTGGACTTTGCTGCTCGGGGAGTAGTTAAGGTCTATATACAGACGGTACCAATGGAGGCGCTTGCGCAAGTTTTCCAGGATATGAAGACAGGAAGCTTGCTTGGGAGAGCAGTGATTGACCTGTCTTGACGTATCTTTCTTCGCTTTATATTCTTCTATCAGATTACATGGTCTAGTCTTATCTTCTTAGCTTCTTCAACAATCTCAACTCACACTGTGTCATGTATTTTGAGATCTCTCTATAGACCTATCTCCCTTGACCCCTACATTTTATCCTCTTCATCGCAACTTGGAACTTTGGTAACTCGTGTTTCCGTGGACCTTTCGTATCATTTGCTTGGTAAATCTTCCATTTATATATATCTGCATCGCAGCTCCAACATATAGGCTGCCGTCTTTGTAAAGCGAGTCCAGGAAATTTAGGTAGAAGGATGCCGGTTGAGATCCATGAAAAATTGCATTTGTCAATAGGATAAATATACAAGAGCTTCCGGGATTCAACATTTGAGATAAAGAATGACCTATGATAAATTATACTCTAATCTCTCTCGGCGTGAAAATCGTCTTGAAGTTGTGTTGGCGTACAAACCATGCATTCCACAATTTCCATTCTTGGTCAGGATGTGCCAATTGTACCTATCAAAAGAAGTTAGCACCACTAGTATTTGCTTCATGTAGGAAAACAGAACATACCTCAAACCTCCGCAAAAAGCTAGGGATAATTTTATAAATCTCCATTAGAGAGATATTCTTCCCAATGCAGGTCCTCGAGCCGGCACCGAACTGAAGCATCATTCCATCCATAGTCTTTAATTTATCCGGTGGAACAGTAAGCCATCTATCGGGGTTGTATATGTCGGCATCTGGACCAAAGATATCTTCACGACGGTGGATAACCCAGGGGCTACAGCCAACAATTGTTCCGCCGCGAATGAAATGTCCGGAGATCTGCACGCCTGACGCAGGAACGACACGTTCCAGAGGAAGTCCGGCAGCAGGATGCATGCGGAAAGCTTCTTTTATGCAGGCATCAAGATAGGGCAGCTGTCGCGACTCTGTCCATGAGACAAGTCCTGTTGGGCGATTCACGATTGTACCGTTGTCAACGGCGTCATCCAGCTCTTGCCTAACCCGCGTCATGCAATCTGGATTCTTAAGTAAATAGTAGAACACGGCTGCAATGCTGATGGCAGTTGTTTCAGACCCAGCGAAGGCCATGGAGACGGCCATGGTAAGGATTCGTTTGTTCGTCATGAAATCCGGACGGCTTTCACCCGCCTTGAGGAACATTGTGAGAAGATCATCCTTTGATCCCGGTCCCGTTGTAGTAGCCTTTGCTGACATACGTTCTTCCATGCGGTGCTTTGCGAAGATGGCCACAGGATGGGAATTATCTGATAAGCCCAACTTTTGAAGGAGATCAAAGATTGGATTCTTCCAAAATAGCTTATCTAGCCATGGCATCTGACCAATAGGGGCAGAATAATCGAAGATATTTGCTAGGGAACTGACGATGCCATCGATGTCTTCGTTTTTCTCGATAAAACCATGGCGTTTGCTATACGTAATACTTCCAATAACATCAAAGGCAAAGAATTGTAGCCATCGTGCGAAATCACACACGGTGACTCCATCAGCAAAGAGTCGGCCCGTCTGATCGAGGAAGATTTCCGTAGTCTCGTCGACCATTGGCTCATACTGTACTAATGAGCTCATTGAGAACGCATGGTTTACAGAACGGCGGAGATTCGCATGGAATGTCTCATCCAGCGTAGAGAACAGCGATGGCAAAGGCTCCCCTTTAGAAACGGTCATTTGTACTGGGTAAAACTCAGACTATTATCTATATTAGAAATTGCAAATCTTGATAGGCCCGGCATTTCACTACCTTTGTGAATCCCTTGTTTAGACCGTAGATCACCTTCGTTGCCTTCGGGTCTGCGAAGGACAAAGTCCGTGGACCTAGACGCACGACATCGCCATACTTACGATGCAAAGCTATATGCGTAAGCTCAGGACGTCGACCCTTCACATCGATATATCGCCAAATATCAGTTAGGTGCGCCCAAAAGGGCCCAGGAAAGATATTCAGTGAATTGTAGAAATAATTGAGGGTTAGGTAAAGTAGGAACATAGGAGGAACTGCGTAGACAGCATATTGAAGAGTAGCAGCAGGAACATTCGTGATGATAGCCATAATTGTATCCTATCGCTCAGAGCTAGTTCAAAGCAGGAGCCATGAGGATGGCGTTATATAAACCACATCACACAATATACGTAATTCTCTTCCCCGCTAGGAGGAGTGCATTATCTCAAAATGCTTTGACGAATACAAATATGCTGGGATCGGCAGTTGGGCATATCATGATCCGATGGACGACGGTGGGCATGTGAGGTATCCCCAGGAAGCATTTACTTTGTACAAGCCATCCATTCGTCAAACCCCGGAATATGGATCCACTGGAACGTAATTAAGGCTATTTCCCCGCATATGGTGGGTGTCAACTATATGCACCATCTTTGATTGTAGCCTATGCGTCGGCATTTGGGCCGACCTTCAACCACCGAGAGCCGTTTGTAGCGAAAAAGTCTAGACTATTCTGAATTAGTTGAACTGTATTCAAATACCCCGTATTTTGAACGCGTATGCACAGGCTAGAAGAATTACATCGCTTCGGAATGATCTAACCGATAATTGTATACACTAACGGCAGCATTGCACACGCATCCATACATACTAAGAATTTCTTAACATCGTAGGCTCCATACAATAAAACTAAATGTAGAAGTTCAACAATTTAAAAGATATCGTAAGTCTCCGGTCTTTTTCTACGCCGAGTAAAGTTGAAATTTCAATTAACCCTTTTCATCCTCGAAATTCTATCAGAAATACAGGAAGAACTTTGCGAAATGTTTCTATGGGGCTTTGTATTGGTATTGAGTCTGGTGGCTACATTAGTCTACCGACATTATTTCCATCCACTATCCCACATCCCTGGGCCCCGAATAGGCATATCAACCCGTGCCTGGCAGAGCTGGCGTTATATAAAAGGGCAATGGCATGAAGATATTCTTAAACTACATGCACAGTACGGCCCAGTGGTACGAATCGCCTCAAACGCGGTATCTATGCTCGACGCCAATCATGGACTACGGGCAATTTACGGCCATGGCACCAAAGCGACAAAGGTGAGCATACTGTGTGCCGAATGGATTTGGCAGCGAGAAAAACTAATCTTCTCTTTGGAATTGAGACCGACTGGTATCAGATCTGGAACAGTAGTGGGAAGATAGCCAACACTGCGTTTAGTGAAATAGATGCCAGTGAGCATTCACGAAAGCGCAAACAAGTTGCGAAAGCCTATGCAATGACATCTATTCTGAAAATGGAAGAATACATTCAAGGTGTTGTCGACCAGAGCAGAGAAACATTTGCAGAATGCGTTGCACAGGCAAGTAAAGGCGAGGCAGTCTTGGATATGGCCCTTTACACTCAAGCGTTTGCGTTTGATGTTCTGGGAGAAATCGGGTTTGGACGCAGCTTTGATCTTTTGAAAACGAGAGGCCAGGGACCTTCAAAGTCTATCGTCGAAGCAATCGATTTGAGCTTCCTGGTTCTGGCAAACTCGGGATACCTTCCTGGCAAGCTTCGCTGGCTAAAGTCGAATACAATTAAGGCGATCTGCAAGTTAGCCAACATTGATCTGAGCAAGCTCCAACAGCTGTTCAAAGTGACGCTATACGCCGATGAGATTGTCATGAAACGGAAACAAGAGAAAGCCTCACGCACTGATCTACTTCAACAATTTATCGATTCCAAAACTGGTGATAGCAAGCCTTTAGAACACCCAGAGCTACTCGGAGAAGTCGTTAGCCTCTTGGGGGCTGGAGCAGACACCACATCCATTGGTATCAGAGCTGTGCTGGGCCCCCTCGCTCTTGATCGCACTGGGTATACAAAGCTTACAGAGGAGATTGACTCTTTTTATGCAACCCAAAATCTGGAAGACCGGGAGATAAAATACACAGAATGCCTCGAGTTGCCTTATCTGCAGGCGGTAATCAAAGAAGGCTTACGCATGCACCCGTCAATCCAGTTCCAGCTTCCTCGTTATTCCCCCGCGGGTGGCGTGACGATATGCAATGCATACATTCCCCGTGGGACTGAAATTTCCACGTCACCACTTGCAAGCAACCGTGACACAGCTGTTTTTGGAAAAGATGCAGACATTTGGAACCCAGAAAGGTGGCTGGAGAGCAACGAGCGAACGGCTATTATGGAAAAACATAATGCCACGGTATGCTGCCCCATAATCTCGCGTGTATAGTCTTATTTGCAAGTTACTTATAGCTTCTCCCGCAGTTTGGGTACGGTGCAAGGTCCTGCTTGGGGAAAAATATCGCTTTGGTGGAAATCAATCTCTATGTAGTACAGCTGCTACGCCACTTCGAACTCGAAATTGCCAACCCAAGCCAGCCATGGAAAATACACACCTGCTGGTCGTCAAGCCAAAGAGATATGTTTATGAAGGTCACCAAGCGGGATCGGTAGTCGGGTGTGCTCCAGCCAAATGTCTTTTTGTCCTGTATTCTAAACTGGAACTTTAGAAGCAACGGGTTATGATGAGAGTGCTCAAATTCTAAATTCCAAAGGAATGGAATATGAGTGAAGGTGTTGGAATTGTGTTAATCGAAGTGAGTAAAGCACGTGTTTGTAGCAATATATTAAACAATATAGTTAATTGCTTCCGATTTCAGCACCTTTAAGCTGAAGGACTTGGATTTCAGAAGCCTTGATGCGTCAGGTAGACTGGAGTATGACATAGCTTGGTAGTTGAGTAGATATCTATCCCCCTCGCCGAAGCCACATCTAGGCTATAACAGCTACACAAATAGACTACGATATACTGAAATATTTAACTAGATAGTCAAAGTGGCGTTGAGGTAGTGGCAAAGAGTGTAAAATTTGTTGAAGCCAAATTAATTCACAGGTGAGTACTCAATAATTTCAATATCAGCACAGCTCAGTTACGTAAGGCAAATTGATCTCGTGAAGTTTGGACGACTGTGCAAATATTGCCTCATTCCTTGCCAAAGTAGAACCGCTGCAATAACCCCAGTCTGTGTATGAATTGGCGATTACACTTTCCGAAAATGTCTAGGAACAGTCAGTCACTGACTCTACCAAGTACCTGTAAGTGATCTACTTACACATTGGAATCGAAGTGGCAGCGAGGCAGACAGAAATTATTCCATAAACCCGGAAAATAGATTGTGGTCCATCTTCAGCTACCCAGGAATTCACAAAGCGCGCAAATCCAAAGAACAAGAGGTTCTTGAACATCATCTGTAAGCTGAAGATTTCCGTTGTCTCAGAAGAATGCGAATCCCTGATGACTTGTCAGTATTATGCTCTAAACGTGGACGAGAGCAATTGAAGTGTGACAGGGAGACACACAATATGTAAAGGCTTGAAGATACAGTCGACACAGTAATACCCAAGCAAATGCATCCATGCAAAAATGCCCCTAGATAGTAGCCGGTCGAGAAGGGGTGTTCGAATAGCCATACGAACACGAAGTATCCCAAGGCCATTGCGACAACAGCAATTGCCTGAGTTAGAATTCGAAATTCCGGTTCGTAAATCCCACGATTGATGCGAACCATAATTTTAGTGGCCAAATCGGTCAGCCACGCACTGCCGAGGCCACCAATCATACCTCCGAGCATAGCTACAGGCTTGTGAGATGATTGTTGTGATTTCGGGGAGAGGGAAGTAGTATGTTGACATACCTCCAACATAAAAGTATCCATTTTGGGCGGCATTCAAATTATACGGCCTTCCTCGATTAGCTGACAAACAATTTACATGTCAAATGATTAAGACTCACGGAGCGGACCATAGTTGAGCGAAAACATAGGCCAAGCTGACATAAAGGCCCTGCAACAGTTAGAAAATACACCACCGATGCCGAGGAATGTGTGGGATTTACCACGACGGCACCAGACATAGCCAATGACTGGCAGAGAAGTCAGCAAAGCAAATTTTACCAGTGGATTTAGGCTCACCCAAATAACACCTGGGTTATGAAGAACAACAAATGGCGCGACAATGAGTTTCGGGAGACTAATGTCAGTATAGGTTCCCGAGAAGATTGCGAGATTTTGCAAATAGGTCTTCTTTGAAACATTGGTAGACGGATATACCGTCCGTTGTTCTCCCACATTCTCTTCTTCAAAAACCTCTGATCCCTCCTCGATCTTTTCCTTAAAGTCAGTTCTATGCTCTGGCACTTGAATACGCGCAAGGTTTGCGCTGGAGCGGCGAAATTGGGTCTCTGGGATGAAAAAGAATGTGAGAATCCACGAAGCTGCGACGAATGGCAAGTGAATGATGAGCATATATCTCCATCCCAGATTTTGAGTGATTGGACCTGAGATAATATTTACTGCACTGGCAAGGCACGTCAACGCAATAGTCTTGAACATGGTTAGCAAATAGCTCGTACTGTATAACTAGAAGGACGAGGACAGCTGTACCATCACTCCAGTCCTAATACCACGCTCGTGGACGAAGTATCTAACAAGTTAATAAGAGACGATGTAAAGCGATGGAGACAGACGATTCTTAAACGGGGGCTTACATGTCCCCGATTGCGGCCAGTGACAGCGACTCAAATGCCGTTGTCCCGAATCCTTGAATGAGGCGACCGGCAAGGAGGGTCGAATAGTTTGATCCAGATACCACACAGATGATTGTTCCAATTAATGCCATCGTGCAGCCGAATAGGTATTGAGGCCATTTGCCGTACTTGCGAGCCAATGCTGAACAAAACGGGCTTTGATATATTGTTCTTAGTATCAGAATGCAAATCAGGGATGTTTCAATCTTACCCGTACAAGCCAACAACGAGCAGCTGGTATCCTGAGAGAAGAGCAACATTATCCAGTGAGACTCCCAGATTCTTTGATATAACTGCAGTAGAAGACGCAAATACTGGTCCAGGGACTGCAGCTAAGATGATCGTGTTGATGAAGATTGTCAGATATAGTAGATCCTTCTTCCAAATCGACCAGTTCTTCTAGAAGTTAACGTGGGGTTAGGTTAAGGAATGCTAGGGTTGTCTCACCAGTGGATCATTTGGATCATCTGATGGCTGGGGGTCCAAGACAATGGAAGGATCCTGAGATTTGTTAGTATACTAAAAAAGCAAGCTGTGCTATCTTTATCCGAAGCGAACCTTTCGGTCGTGTTTAACGCCGACATGATAACTCTGTTCATTATCGGCTCTCTCATAGAGAAGAACTGTTCCAGGGCAGTCTTCAGAGTTGGTGGGACGCAGAATGCCCATCGCCATATTGAGGGGCGGCATGTTGCAACTGAAAATAGGATGACCTGGTGAAGAACTGTAGTTCAATGGAGTGGATCAAAAGAAAAATCACACCAATATGATCTTCCAAGAAAGAAATCTGAGGGTCACAAAGGCTGGAATTTGCATCATATTTATCAAAAGCATTCGCTCAGGGGTCGTATGGCAGTTGGATTATAGCTCTATTGATGTGGGCACTGGGCGCCCAGGAGCCCGTTCTGGAGTCCTTGGGGCTTGACTGATGACGTGAAAAACAGTTTACATGCCTAAGTAAAATACCAAGATACGAGAAAGCCAAAAGTGTATTCGATACCTTATATCGGTCTGATTCTACCGACAGTGCGGAGTATACATCCGTTGGTGGGATATGACCCCGGATTTTGTCGGTCTATTTGTGCCGATAACTTTATTATCGCTCCTGATTCAGCCATTCACACAACCAAGCTATTAGCAGATTGGGCTATGAGCGTCAATGCCTTCATAGTCTATGTTACTTGCAAACTATATAAATACCGTTCTTCATAACTAGTAGCCCAACTATTCTCACAAACTCGAACAATTGAGCACCACGTCAAACAACAAAACATGGCTGAAGATCTCAAAGCACTGAAAGCTGAACTGACCTCTCTGAAGGCGGAGGTATCTCGTATTGGCGGTGAGTTTATGTGAAGTTCGTACAAGTTTCACGAGTGTTAATTGTATGATATGTTTTTCAGATGAAGTCGAGATTCGCAAGTTGCATTTCAAGTACGGCTACTATCTCGACAAATGCCTGTATCAAGAGGTAGATATACAACGCCCCAAGTCATACATTCGTTCAATACTGATAAATCTCTATTTTCAAGGTCGTAGACCTGTGGTCCGATTCGCCAGATGCGTTTATTGAGTTCCATGGAGGAAGATATCGAGGAAAGGAAGGCATCCGCCGCCTATTTATCGAACGGTTCGGAGGCAAATTCGTGAACGGCCGCAATGGCCCTATCCATGGCTTCCTCCTAGACCATGCAATGCTGCAGGATATCATCGATGTCAACAGAGAGGGAACTCACGCCTGGGGAAGGCTAAGAACCTTGATGTCCGCTGGCACTCATAAAAGTATTGCCGATGATAATCCTCGGGGTCTCGTACAGTGGTGGGAAGGAGGACTCTATGAGAACGAGTATATCAAGGAAAATGGGGTCTGGAAGCCATATCGCTATAGATACTTTCCCTTCTGGCATGCCGACTTCGAGAAAGGATGGAGTCACACCCAGCCGGAATACGTTCCCTTCCCCAAGAAGTGCTATCCGGAAGACCCCCTTGGTCCTGATCAACTCGTGGAGTCTAGGAACTTGTGGCCAGAGACAAAGGTTGTACCTTTCCATTACCCCCACCCTGTCACCGGGAAGCAGGTCAAAGAGAATGATTTGAGGGCACCGACATTGAATGGGGATGTTTCCAAGAGTGGCCCAGCTCTATCGCTGAATGACCCCAATGTGCCAGCCACAAAGTTGTAACCGTTTTGAGATTTGTGAGATTGCCAGTCTATTTGTTTGAACTATTAGGCCTGAATTTCGATCAACACTCGGACTCTTCACCAAGAAGGTCCAGAATTACTCCCAGTTATGGAAAGGGATCTTTTCTTTGAATACTAGAAAAATTCTATAGATTAGACAAAAAACCAAAGCATCTCCTTCCTCGACTGAATCCTTAACATTACTCGTAGAGGGACTTTAGGAACTATCATGGCAACTGGCCTAATTGTGGTACGGCTCTGGCTTCGTCATAGTCCTCTTCCCTTTTTTTTAGGGTACCTAGCAAGTACGATTAGAGATTAGAAGCGGTCATCGTAGGCTTAATACAAGGATTTGAGTTATAATAATCGAAAAAGCATTATTAATGTAAAGAAGTTTCATATTCCAATCTGGTCAGATCAGCACCCATTTGAATAGGAAGATCTAATCCTGAGAACATCGGGAATGAACTAAGATCAATTGTAGTGTCAGATGTCCCGAACAGACTGGAGAGTGTTAGAACAGACACCATTAGGACTGAGGGGGAAGTTGATACGTACAAATTATAAGTGTCGTTCAAAGCATCGAACCCCGTCACAGATATCTCTCCACTTTGCTCAGAATGTGAAGGAGCAGAATTGTTTGGGATCATCCCCCATTGCACCAATTCAAATATCACCTCTGAAATCATCTTTTCACCATACCCTGCAGTTCCAATAGCCTGGATTACCTGGAGACATTTCCGTACATTGGCTAGTTCCTTGTCCCCTTTTGAGAGGGCGAATGCTGAAAGTAAAACCTGCAGAACATCCAAGGCAAAAAGAAAGTCCAAAGCAACCAACCTCGAAAAGGTACCCTCGGCGACCATCTCCACCAGGATTGATAGCATGTTCTCTGCAGAACTCACACAGAGAGCGCTCAGTGGTTCAAGAGCTTGCAGTTTACCCCTTCCGTACATGGTCTTCTGGCATATGACATCATAGAGAAGAAAAGGCCGTGTTATGAGTAGTCGGACACCGTGATACCTCAAATGGAGGATTGCGATAGGCCTGCAGAAGAGGCGTGGGGCTATCATGTCGGAAATTCTGAGATGAGGGGGAAGAGCGTCTGCCCATTCTTGTAAAGAGGACATGGCTTTTGTGATCACTTTCATCTCCAATCGCTGGCCACTTAGAAAGGGCCTATTGTAAACATGGTTGCGTGCAGTTTTTGCCAACTGACTAAGACTGCTACAAGCGGCCAAATAGTCTGGAGGGGTATGGGAGCCAAGTGGTAGTATCTAGTGTAGAGAAGTTAGAAATAACTTGTACTGTAAAGAATTGAAGGGAGATTGGGAATGACTACCATTTCGGAGGGCAACTTTGGATGGCAAGAATCTTCAATTGCGCATGGCCTCCCTAATCTCAACGATATATCCTGATCAAAAATGACAAGTGACAACCAGAGCCGCCGGGCGTGTTCTTTCTCGACGGAACCATAGAATGCACAATACATGTCGCAATGCAATCCAAGAGAGCGAGCAATTTGTACAGCCAGACTACTGTAGAGATATGCGGGATTAGAAAACCCGTGTGATTGTAGAGCCGTTGACTAGTGATGAGCTTGAGTTAGTGCTATTCCTGCGAGCTTGAACACATCCCTTACCAAGATTACCATGGCTCGAACGCTATCGAGTGTCCCTTCATCACACACCGCTGGAACATATGACTTTGCATGTTCCAGGTACTCCGTTGCTGTTGTATGGCCATCCAAGCCATTGGTTTCAACGTAAACGATCGCTAAGATTGAGTAGAGTGAACCTAACCAGGAGGCGGATAGGTTTTCAAGAGGGGTCTGATACGTCTTTTCTAGCTGAATGTGGAACCTGTCTGAAGAGAAAAGCCAGTAGAGACAATGAACCTCCTCAAAATAGCGCATGATAGATGTCTGACATTCTTCCAAAGGGGGCAAGCCCATGATGTTTTGCTGAGATCGAGGACTTGGAAGAGGCATGGCGACTGTAACCATGCCGGGAATAACATCCGGTGATTCTGGTGTGTACATCTCATCGCCCGTGAGGCGTCGAATGGCAGCATTGAAGGACAGTCCCGATTCGGGTCCCATATAGCCTAGTGGTTTTCAGCTCTGGACTTCTTAATACGGGGGCGGCATCTATGCGACCTACGGTATTCACCAAGAGAATCTGCTAGCAAACATCCTAGCTTTTGATGGAAGCAAACAGCATCCTGCAACACGGTGTCCTCCGGGTTTGGCTCAGGATCAGAGCTTTCCTGAAAATTCTCATCCGGTGTCTTCAGCGTATTCTCTCGAGGACTAGGTACACCAAATGCAGACACCGAAATAGGAGTCGATGGGGCGACTGGCTGTGTAGCTATGGAAAAGGGATTTGGCTGCGGTGTAGCGGTCTTTTGATGACGGCATTGCTGCGCGAGAGAATGAAGGGTTTCCGGAGTTAGGTCATCGCCTGGAAGGTAACTCTTTAATATGGCTTGCATATCCCGGAATTCCTCCTCGAAAAGGAGACAAAATAATACGGTCTTTGTCGTCGTTTCGTTATATCAACATGGCATTCAGTCCCGCGGTTGCGGCAATGATCGCAAGGGCCTGGAACTGAAGTTTTTGATAGATGAGTAAGATGTGGGCATATGTGCTAGACAAGGAAATGCAATTATCACCTGGGTTATTGCACTTAAGACAGCATTAGCAACTCAATGTGGTAGAAATTGAGGGCAGAAAAATGAATGTCTCTTACCTTTGTCTTTCGACTTTTGCAACGGTCACAACTTATCACAGCGCGAGTTCTGCGACCGGATTTGAAATGTCCAGCCATGATGGGGATTGTTGTTCACTCAGACTCCAGACAGGTGGTAGAAGCTAAGCAAACACATATCGGCATGTCAACAATGGGGAAACTCCCGACGGGCAATCGACAAGTGTGGGGGACTGCGGGGATTGCGGGGACTGCGGGGAAATAGATCAATAGGAGCCATTCACGCTTGACTATGACGACGACAACTTTGCTCTGCATACAAAGTAGCAATATCGAATTCACCTAATTTTTATTGGACCGTGAAATTGTGTGATGATTCACTCGCCCGAGTCGGACCCTGACCTGGAATATTCTCACGGTCACCTGATCTTCCTCCAGCATTAAAAGACTCATATAGTCCTTTTCCCTCGAGTTTGATATAATATCTGCATTGTATCATAGGTTAATTTACGTCTAAGTAGTACAAATAAATCAATGTGATACTGTTTATCCACCAAAACGGATCGCCGCTTCGACAAGGGCAACTGACTACATGGATTAGCTTGGTGATTCCCTACTATGAACACTTTGGTAGGTGCAGTAAAGAACAAAAAGCAAACTAACCCAGGTATTTATGTATCATAGAAATTACAAACAGAAGTAAAGAATTCTCCACAAATCCTATCTCTTCGGTCCATTCTTTCCGCGCTGTTACTGATACACGGTTGTATCAATCCGCGGTAAGCTGTGCTTAGCACGAAGTAGAAGTAGCTGTGCAGTATTTTTTTATATAGGTACTTGCTCCTATAATTCTAAAAAGGTATGTAAATTAATACAAATGTAATGAGTTTGGAGAAAGATCTCCACTGACAAAACTGATGCCACCAGCCGCTGCCCCTGCATAACCGTAAAGTGCAGCATCGGAGTAATCTAGCCGCAACATCCATTTGTATTGGCGTTGGACTTCCGGTGATCCTAGATGAGTATCGGAAAGCAACACATTTATAAAAGAGAGAGATCTATAAAAAGAGTAGAAAGAATGAACAGTCGTCTTTAATGTGTTTAGAATAACCATCTTATGAACACGACTCTCACCTCTTGTTACAACCTTCCCGAAAGAAATCAAAATGACTTCTATTGATTCGACCAAGATCAAACAAATCGAAACACGACTATTCATCAATGGAAAGGTTCGTTCTTGTTGCATATATATCTAAATGGGTAGCATACTCACCACCGTTGAAGTTCGTGGAGTCGTCTGACAACCGCACCTTTGGCTTGACATCGCCAACTACAAATACAAAGTTTGCCACAGGTATATATAACTTTCTTAAGGCTACCAAAACACAGGGACTGATATTATTTGTTGTTTTAAGTCTACGAAGCGAGTGAAGATGATACAAACGCAGCAGTGGCAGCGGCAAAGGCAGCCTTCCCAGCATGGTCTGCGCTTTCGCCAAGTCAGAGAGGAGCCTACTTCAAGAAACTGGCTTCCTTGATTCTTGAATCGCACGAGGAACTTGCTCAGCTAGAAGCTATGTCCATGGGTCGTCCTGTTTCTGGCTATTTCGATTCCTACGCAGCAGCAATCACCTTTGACTTCTACGCCGAGAACGGCTATCAAGCTCTAGGAACAACCAGCCTTAACACCCCTGGTTATGTCAACATGACTGTTCGTCAGCCTTTTGGTGTTGTCGCTGCTATCATTCCTTGGAATGTTCCGATTTTATTCCTCGCGGGCAAGTCTGCCCCTGCCTTAATGGCGGGAAACACAGTGGTGATCAAGAGCAGCGAAAAGGCCCCATTAACGGTGAGTTGCAAATAGCAAATTGTCTACATAAGTAAAGGAGTACATCTAATTATGCTCTAGTCCGCCAAAATTGCGACCCTTGTGGAAAAGGCCGGTTTCCCCCCGGGTGTGATCAATATCATTTCGGGGCATGGTCAAATTTCAGGGAACATTCTATCCCACCACATGGATGTTCGCGCATTGAGCTTCACGGGATCAGGAAGAACAGGACGTTTGATTCAGACTGCCGCTGCTGAATCCAACATGAAGAATGTCATTCTGGAACTCGGTGGAAAATCCCCGGCAATCATCTTCCCCGACGCAGACATCGAAAAAGCGGTCGAGGAAACCAAGAACAGTATTCAATGGAATAGCGGACAGGTTTGCATGGCAAACTCGAGGATCTATGTCCATGAATCGATCGCATCAACCTTTATCGAGTTGTTCAACAAGCGATTTGCCGCCGTTGCAATTGGTGACCCGCTTCTACCTGACTCGAACCACGGACCACTTGCAGACGAAGCACAATTCAGGCAGGTTCACGCCTATATTGAAAGTGGAAAGGAATCTGGTAAGATGTCCTTGGGAGCAGAGACAATCGACCACGATACGGGATTCTTTGTCCGACCGACGGTGTTCCTAGAGACACAAGAGGATGCAAAGGTGATGAAAGAAGAGATATTTGGACCCGTGGTCAATATCAACACCTTCTTGGATGAAGATGAGGTGGTTGCAAAGGCGAATGACACGGAGTTTGGCCTCTATGCTGCAGTATATACTAAGGACATCAATCGTGCTATGAGAATAGCCAAGAAACTGGAGTCAGGAACGGTTGGAGTTAACTGCACTAGCCCAACTACGGCTCACGATCTGCCATTTGGAGGCTATAAGAGTAGTGGGCTCGGTCGGGAGGGATGGACTGTCAGCCTCAACAACTTCCTTAAAACAAAGTCCATTCTGATAGAGGTTGACGATGCCTGAATTGTGGTGACAAAACTATCGACTATCGTGTGAATATATATTTGACAGAGCGAAGTTGCAAGGTTACTTGACAAAAAAAACCCGCATAAAGAATGAAGAGTAAGAACTCTTTCTAAGCTCTAATTCACCATATCTACCTTTTGCAAGCAAGTGCCATCTTGTTGAAGCCAGGCGATCGGTGGAGGTCAGTGGCAAAAGTATAGTAGATAGTATACCGAATGGTACCCATACTATTGTACTATGCGATAACACTTATAGGCTATGTTTAGTGTGAATCTAGTTTCCTCTCTCTTTTCTAAATATTTTATTCCTCACATTTACATAGTAGGTTCGATATATAAGGGTGTGGATTAGCTTACTACTTCGTACTCCGTAGAATAGGTGACATATGCATGTTTAATTGAATCCCACCTATGAGTCACTGATCGTCGTATGGCTAGCCAATTGGCATCAAGCCTAGGAAAAAAGAAGCCTCGTAATAAAATGAGAATGAACTGACATGGTATTGGAGTTAAGGGCATATACTTGATTAGCGGTAACAGAAATGAAGAGGGTATTAAAGTACCTGAAATAGGGCAACCTAACGTTTCAAAATATCAGATAACCAGTTAATTATATGTACTCTCTATGTATGTTGTATGGACGTTAACTTGGCATGTGTCCAGGGCCCCTGGTGAGATCATCTGGTGATAAGGAAAAACGGAGATAACGGATTAATCATCATTTTGTCGGGGACCTCAAGACATGTTCAGCTTCGTTTTCTCATTAATCATCTCTTTGTTGCTATCGTTAACTCGAAAAGGAACCCTGATCATAACACTTGGATCAAAATACCTCAATAGTCTTTCGAGTCTGATTTTGGACCCCGACCTCGTTGATCCACCCGCGCGGCATTTCACACCCCTCCCTCAACCATCGCACATCGCACATCGCAAGCTTCGACAACGCACATCTGTACATCGCATTGCCCCACAATTTATCTAGTGATACTGGGTGCCTAGATCACATTTTCCGACCGTTCAAAATACTCGCGAACAACATCAACCACATCTCAACCTATCTCAACCTCTAGGCCTGGCGCGGTTGCCTGACAAGCCCAAATCCTCTCGCATTGACGTTGCGCCAAACTGTGCATACGTGGCTACGAGCAGGGAAAGCAACGTTCGGAAACCCGCACAGATATTTAGGAGTGGATTTGCAATCAGACAGAGAAGGTTGTTTGGATGAGCTCGCAGAACAATCGAGTGGCACATTTGATTCGGTCTAAGGGCAGTACAGACTGCGACACCGTGTTTGCGTGCCCCGCCCAGCTGGACCGCTGACTCGACGTGCACTACCTTATCTCTGCCTCCTCCCTTACCGAGGACATCGCAGCAATTTGATTACCCATACAAGATCATGTCATTTCCCACCAAAATGACCCCCACACCCCCTTCTACAAACTCATCGAGTGCTGGCTACTCCCCAGATTACAGAGTCGTCCGGAAAAGGAACCGGGTACCTTTGTCATGTGGGCCTTGTCGGCACAGAAAGTAAGTATTCGAGCCGTGGCTGAAATGCATTTTTTTCTAACAACTTCAGGCTGAAATGCAATCGTACAAATCCTTGCGAAAATTGTGTCAAACGAGGAGATGCTGCTTCATGTAATTATGCACAACCTAACTCGCGCAAGAAGAACCCATCCCAGCAGTCGTCTAATACACCCGATGATATGCAAAATCGCATCGATCGGTTAGAAGGCTTGGTTCTTTCGTTAATGACAAACGGGTCACAGTCTGCAGGTCCGGCTGCTGCCATGGCAGCGATCTCTGGAGACAGTAGTGCGGGCTCGACTCGGTTCTCTCATGACATCGATATCGAAGAGGAGGGGATGGAGGGCGCCGAAGAGAGCGACACGGACCAGGTGACCAAGTCGTTCGGTATCATGAAGATGGACAATAACAAGTCCTATTACATCAGTGATGCTCATTGGGCGTCTGTATTGAATGATGTAAGTTATGGAGATTTAACCGAACCCGAGTCTTTCTAACCTGCCGCATAGATCTCCGAGGTGCGAAGTTTCTTCTCAACGCACAAGAAACAAGCCGATGAGCAACTTGAGAAAGTAAAAGCGGCCCGACCAGACAGTGATGCACCAGGCGCGACTTTGTTGTTTGGTATTAATAAGGCTATGAGCCGTGGCGAGATCATGAGCGGTTTACCTTCTAAGTATACAACTGACATTCTTGTTGCTCGCTATTTCAATTGCTACGATCCTGCGACCCGTGAGTACTTGCTATTTCCATAGCCCGTGATTTTATTCAATTTGAGTCGATACTGACTCTATTTAGATGTTCTTCATGGGCCCACATTCCAAGCACAGGTAAGGCCCCCGAGAAGAAGATCATTTTGAGTCCAGGTTCTGACTCTGCTAGTATAACAAACATTGGGATGATCCTGCCGCGACCGAACTCGTCTGGATCGCTATGCTATTTGGAATGATGAGATTGGCAATGCTATCTTACCACCGCGAAGGCGATGAGCCACCTGAATTCCGGGGCAAGTCTCTGGACATGGCTGGGGGATTTCGAAATTCTGTAGCACAGTGCTTGACATTGGCTGACTACACGAAACCTCACCCGTTCTTGATAGAAGCGTTCGTATTTCATTTGCATGGCGATTTCTCTCAAACTCGAGAGGCAGATATTTCGATTTGGGTCATGACTGGTGTTGTTGCTCGCCTAGCAATGCGATCTGGATATCACCGTGACTCTAAAATGTTCCCAAACATCACACCTTTCCAAGGTGAGATGCGACGGCGTGTATGGACCTTTGTGCGCCAGGCCGACCTTCTGTTTTCATACCAGGTCGGGCTGCCAGGCATGATCCGGGCTACAGATAGCGATACTGAGCTACCACGGAATCTTTACGATGATGATTTCGACGAAGACAGCAAGGAGCTCCCGCCCCCTCGTCAATTGAACGAGCCAACACCAATCTCGTATTTGATTGCTAAAGCGCGCCTGTCGTATGCATTCGGCAATGTGGTTGAACAAAGCTCTGCTGTGTCGTCGGCACCATACGAGAAGGTGATGGAAGTCGACGCGGAACTCCGACAAGCAAGGGACTTGATCCCTGATCACTTGCGTATTCGGCCTATGGAGGAGTGCCAGTTGGACCCCGTCAATCTTATCATGTCACGCTTTTCCGTAAGTTGTCTGGAAGCCGCCGGAGTATGCATCAATACTAACCGTTTTTGTAGGTAATGGCCGTATACAGCAAAGCTCAGTGTGTGCTTCATCGCCCGTATGTGGTTCGTGCACGAGAAAATCCTCGTTTCACCTATTCTCGAAGGACCTGTATCGACTCAGCAATGGATTTATTACAAGTCCAGGCGGTCCTACACGCGGAAACGCGTAACGGACGCCTACGCAGTCGCCAGAGTCGAGTCAGTTCTCTCAGTTCAGCCGACTTCTTACTTGCAGCCACCATTGTTTCTCTCGACCTATACCACGGCCTGTCATTGCAAGCGAGTGGCCGGCCATCGGGAGACACATACACTTGGGGCCGAGAGCGGCGCGATGAAATGATCGCTGCGATTCAGCTCTCGAAAGACATATGGGACGAGTCGCTAAATGAAAGTATGGAAGCATGGAAAGCATCCAGCGTTCTTGGTCTGATGCTCGGCAAGCTGCGCGCGTCGGCGGCACCAGGCCTTGAAAATAACGCCGGAGCTGCTTCATTTGAACCACAAGACGAGAAGCAGAACGCGGCCATGACTCTCGGCCTGCTGAGCAGCGGAATGAGCCCGATGAACCCTGGTCCGCCGCCATTTGCCGATCCTATGTTCAAGATGGGAGAATCGCCAATGGGGACAGGAGCAGTTGGTGCCGGCGCCTCGGCCGAAATGCCGGGCGCACTTTCGCCCTTTAGCAGCATGTTCGGGCAGATGCCGGACATGCAGGTCAATTTGGATTGGGTAAGTCTTTTTTGTTCTTTGGGATCGGGGGTTCAAGGCTAACCTGTGGATATTAGGATGCTTGGGATACATACATCCAGAACCCAACCCTCGACACATCGAATCAATTCTGGCCTATGATTGATGCACAGCGCCAAACAGTCCCACAGTTCGGAAGCATGTCACAGCCCTCAGTGCCTAGCCCTTTGACTTCAGGGCGGGGGTCATCAGTTAGTGGTGCTCCGCGGCCACCGACAATGTTCTCAGCATCCTCCAACAGTCCTGATAGTGGAGGTGTGCCAGTAACAGGATACGGCATGCCGCCAATGCCTCAAGAAAATAATGGTCGGGGCCAAGGTTCCCAATGAACGAGATGTATTGGTATTTTACGTGATTTATTCTCTTTCGTTTTTGCCAGAAAATGCTTTGCGTTGGCCCTTTGTGATACCTGGAAATGTTTTGTTGAGCTCGAAGTAACGCGGCAAGTTCTGCTTCTTCTTTATCGGATGGGTAGGTGTGCTCGCGACTATGATCGCCATTTTTGTTCAGGAATTCAGGTATGTGAGAAAGTAGAAAATATGTTGTCTTTTGATGGATTTTGTTGGTGTTGGGGTTGGTTAATTGTATCATACCATGAGGCTACTATCATATATTTCCACTCTTGAGTTATCAAACCTCTCTTTTCATTCGTGTTTCGTCTTCACCTGAACATTAATTGTATATTTATTCGCTATGTAAACTATGCAGTCCAATGCTTTTTATTGCTTTGATCCACTATGTTATCAGGCATTATATAGTCACGTGTCGGGACTTGTCTGCCGGGGGAAAAGTTATCTGGCTTCGCGCAACTCTTCTCACATCAGCATTTTATTTTTAATACGAGATTAACACATCTTGTGTTAATTTAATTCTCAAGATGTAAGTCATACTGAATGCACAATCCGAGTCCGAGTCAAAGACCGATACCTCTTGTTCCTTCGATGATCTGCTGCAACATTTGAACATTGCCAATTGCTAAACAACTGATTTACAGGCATTGCTTCCGCCAGGCCGTTTCTCGGCTTCAATTGTTCCCAGCCGCTTCACGATCATCCATCACCGCCTCCAGCGCAGTGCTGCGTTCAACATGTCCCACCCCGATGCTCTCCGCTACACGGTTCGCCTACCCAACTCTCACACAGACACGGTTCAACTCGACCGATGGACGCAGTCCCCGAGTTCCGGTTAGATATGTTGAGTCTGTTAAACCGGAGCAATCCAAGTCAGAGAAAATCCGACTGCAGAGATACGAACGCCGACGTCAGAGTATAAGCGATGGCCCTGTACCGAAGACCACTCTGTACATCGGCAACCTCTTCTTCGACGTGACAGCGGAGGATCTGCGCAAGCACTTTGAGAAATTCGGTGCCGTGGAGAACGCACTGATCGTGCACGATTCCCGCGGACTGAGCAAAGGGTGAGTTCCCAAGACCGAGGATTGCCGCAGCAGCAGCAATGCAGCCGAAACCCCACCAGACACTGACCCAGTCTCCAATATAGTTTCGGCTACGTTACCTACAGCACCGTCGAGGAAGCCACGGAAGCAATCACACAACAGCACGGAGGCATTTTGGAAGGCCGCGAGGTGGTGGTTCAGTTCTCCAACTCGACATACAGAACCACGCTCGACGCCAAGCCCAGCAAGACCCTGTACATTGGCAACGTCCCCTACGAATTGACGGACCAGGATCTGCAGGATTTGTTCGATGATGTTCCCGGTGTCACCGATGTCCGCATCCCTGTCGACCGTCGCACGGGTCTGCCCCGTGGATTCGGACACATCGACTTCGCCGACCAGACCAGCGCCTCTAACGCCAAGGAGGTTCTCGCCCGCAAGGCGCCTTATGGCCGCAAGCTGATTGTCACCTTTGCTAAGCGCAAGATGTTGACCCCTGAGGACCTCCAGCGTCACCAGCAGAAGAGAAGGGAGAAGCTGACCCCCCACAACAACCGTCAAGGTGCTCAGGATGATGCCGAGCCAGTCGGACGTGTGAGAGAGGTGGGTGAAGTGCGGGAGGTTCCTGAGGTGAAGGAGGCTGAGCAGGTCGTCGAGCAGACCGAGACTGAGCAGAAGCAGTAGAGAGGGTTATATGTAAATTATACAAAATGTACAATAGTGTCCCAATTTGGCAATCGGAAGCATTTTTCAATATGTATATTAAGGAGAAATGATCATATCTACACGTACTGTTTTTTGTCATACACAATTTTATCATTCTCGATATATCAATGTATGTAGGGAATTGATATTTGCACTCTCACTTGGCTGAAGCTTTAGCACCTTTCCTGATTGGGGTCCTAAGGAATGTCCATGGGTTAGATTCTACATAGGCTGTCTGGAGTCTAGTGCGTGGTATATAAGAGAAGAGTGCGTGTTGAAGACACGAGAAATACCATTTTATGTATAGTGTACTCTGCGCTTTGGTCACTAGAGGTCTTTCGATATGATATATACTCTTAGGAATCTATCACTTTTCTTCACGTCCTCAATTGGGCAAACTATTATGTAGATATATAAAAAAGCTTAAGCTCTGCAATTTAGTAAGGGAACTCACCCTCAGTCCCCTCCACAAGTCCCCCCTCCTTTTGCAATCGATCCTGCTCATCTAGATACGGTATCAAGATCTTATCCCAACTCGACTTGCCTTTATAGTAAGAAACAGTCTCATCCCAATTCCGAATAGCCTCCGAAAGACGACCAGGGATATAAGGCTCCTGGGCTAATTTCGTCACCGGCTCGAAATACGTGCGAATGGTAAATAAAATCGCCCCAGAGCGAGGCAGCCGACGTAGTGTCTGTCGCTCTGAGCGGAAGTGGATCTCGTCGATTGTCAGGCCTTTACCATTGGCAGTGGCCCATGCTGGTGATTGATATTGTTAGCTTGTGCTTCGTCAATAGAAAAGGTGAATCAGAAACGAACAGGCGACTTCGGTTCCTTGTTGATCACCCATGCGGTGGGACCAGTGGAGTCCGTCGTCGAGTTGGATGAAAAACTATGGACTTTGTCAGAACTGTATGTTTTTAAATTAATGAAGGAACAGGTAAATTGGGCATACATTGTTTCTCTCCACTGGCTTGTCCGGAGTAAGCTTCAGCATGAACTTGTTCATGGCTTTTTGCAACTTGGCTGCATAATGAGGAACACCGGCTTCGAAGTGAAGCGTGTCTAGGGACATGCGGAATTTTTCCTTGAGACGCCAGAAGCCGGGGAGGCAAACGGCTGCTGCGTCGAGGTGGTATTCTCCGTCTGTGTTGCGTTAAATGTTACGCATTTTGAAGTCTCAAGCGAAGAGAACATACCATCATTCTTCATCATAAGCACTAAATCATCCTGAACTAGCAGAGCTGATGTTGCGAGAGCCTCGTCGGGGGTTGCTATAGATTAAAGTAAGCTAGAATGATTTTTGCAGGAGCGATCAGATCCAAGCATACCTGCTGGGAATGCAAACGCCTCTCCCGTTAGGCTATTATGCACTTTCCCTCCTTCCAATCGGAAGGTCTTGGGATAGCGATGTGTGAGATGACGGACCAATTCCTTATTAAGCTCAAAACAAGCATCCTTCGTAACTGCATTATCGACATATTTGATATGTTCTTTGAAATCCTTTTTCAATTCCGCTGCTTTCATATCGTGGTACCGAAGAAAATAGGAATCCATTTCGATCCAGTTGTCCCATTGCAGTTTGCGAATTCCCATTGTAACGAAGTTAGGCCCATGTCGGAACGGGCGATACAATTTGGGATCGTTTGAAGTTGGGTCATCTGGATGAGGGCTTGGAAGTGGTTTGATGAATGGCTCTTTCTCCGGTTGTTGTATTTGAGGAGTACTGGATTTACGGTGAATTGGCCATTTCATCATCAGCCATGCGAGGATAGATACGATTAGCCCTAGGAAGGGGATTGCGCCTTGCTGAAGCGCGGGATTCGTTAGAATCATTGTTTGCGATGTTGAAGTTTGTTGACCTTTACACTTGTCGTATACATAGTTGATGGGGTGTATGTGCTCTTAAATAAAGTATGCATACATGCCATATTGTATGTCCTAGACCGGTATTCTAGAGAGAGTATATCAAACCCGCTAAACCCATTCTGGTAAATATTTTGGCCACAAACGACCTAACCGACCAGGCAGTTTAAGCGTCCTCCCGTTTGGGTATAGTGCCGACTGATAAGAGTCTGACGTTGTGGATATTCCCGCTTGAGTACTGTGGCTGGAGCAGCATTTAGAGCTCTCTGATTGGACGTGTCTTCCCCGCAATTCGGAAACTCTCGTATCTCGCTCTTCTCCTTGGCCTTCCCAATGTGGTAAACCATTGGAGAGGCCGTCATATGCTCGGCCCACTGATGTGGGGTTGAAAAAGCATCGACAGCTGGATGAGTCCATAGATGCTAGCAAATCGAAGAGTCGGTAAGATTGTCGAAAAGTAGCTCCGATTGTCTAATGTTTTGCTTGTATCTACAAACTCGTTGATTACGTTTAGAGGATAGTAGTAGTAACGTAATTCTTCAAACTATTTCAAACTAAACTAAATACCACGTTGTATGAATCCAATTCCAATTTATGAGTGCTCAGCTTCTTCTATAGGCCCTTTGAAATCTGTGTTCAAGTTAGTACTTCATCTTTAAGTCAAGGGGATGTGAATTCTTACATCTCCGCCCATAGAGCATATACCAGCCCATACTTAAAGCAACACAACCCACAAACATAACCGACGTGTAGGTCATAGTTTCACTAGTGACAGGAAGTGTAACAGGCATGCTGAATAGAACAACCTGGAAAGCAATCCACAACAGCGCAAGGACATTCGCCGTCTTTCCAATGAGAGGATTCAGCTTCCAGCGCGATTGACTAATTTCCAGGCGGCGATCAACAAACAAACTGATGGCGATGGGAATTGCATACGCCACAGCCAACGCAATCACACCTACAGATGCGAAAGCCGTGAATGCACTGCTGCTTCCGAGGTAGGTTAGTCCCAGGAGCATTTCAACAGCCGTAACCAAGCATAGCGCTGCCAGGGGGCTGTCCCTGACAGTGGATGACCAGAGATGGGAGAACGGGATTGCATTGTCACGCGAGAAAGCCCAGGTACATCTCCCGGCGGTAGTTGTGATGCTGATGGAGCAGAAAAGGGCCACAAATAAAACGAGAATCATGAGCACGATTGAGGCAGCTGGTGAACCTGTCACCACGTGGATAATATATGGTAGGGCTTGGCCGTATGGTGCGGCAATGATGTCCGCTAGCGGTGGAAGCGTGAAGCAAATTGGTACAGTGAACACTAGCGCCGCAGCACCGGCTACCACGGGTACCAGGCTGATAGCTGTTGGAATTTGGACTTCGGGATCTGTGCATTCTTCTGCCATGGATGTCACCATTCCCAGTGCGGAGAATGCGTAAGCTGGAGGTAGTAGGCCGATGAAAAAAGTGAAGTGCTCCTCCCAGCCGGAATAGCTGGGATCATACCCAACAAAGCCGGTGTAGGCATCGTGACGACCTGTCTTTGCAAGGACAAGGAGAGTTATGGCGAGGGTGACGCATGTGACGACAGAAAAGGCTGCTGAGAGTGTGTCGACCAAAGGAAGGAGGTGGTCGGCAAAAAAGCATATCATGAAAACGACAAGGCAGATAGCGTAGAAGATGAGAAGAAGTTGCCAGGATGAGGCCGTCCAGGCGGGATAGAAGATGGATACAGTTGCAACGATGAGAGAAGCGATTCCGAAGTTCACTGAAAGTGATATGGTCCAGTTTCCGATGAGCCAAATCTAGCCCGTCACAAATGAGACCAGCTTCCTGCTCCCGCTTGTCTTTAGGAGCCGGAATGACCAATGATAGATACCGGACGAGGTAGGGTATCTCGAAGCGAGTTCTGAAAGAGACAGGGCAACGCAGGTATCTAGTACCAACACCACTAGGAGTCCAATGAAGAGGGAGAGCTGGCCGCCGCCATATACGGCATTGATGAGGGCGCTACCAATACCATAGGGAATAGATGCAATTGACAGAGACATGAACAACATGCTCGACAGCTTGCGCGTGCGGCGCAGCTGAGGCTTGTACCCCAATTGGTATAGCTGTTCATCCTGGTATGTGCCGAGCCCAGAGCTTTCGAGTTTGTCGCACGAGCCTATGCTGAGGTCTTGTTTCTCCATGCTTCTCTCCATTGGTTGCCCCGATTTGGAATCGAAAGGACTGACCGTTTTGTAGATTCATTCTGTGGGTATGCAGCATTGGTCTTTATACCGTTTCCCCACTGCATGCACCTGGAGAAGAAGCTTTGTTCTAGTCCAGCATGGGAAATCATTTGGGCCATTTATCATTTTGCCCCGGCTTAGTGAGGAAGCCATTAGATACGAATCACGTATCTATGACCTTCTCCAGGGCTGTTATCATGGTCCCTGTGGCCAAGCTTGGGACTAATAGATTTACGGTTAGACGATTGCGGGGTAGAGCAACCTGGGCCATGGGAAACGCTTGAGCTGGCCTGATCGGTACCGTTTTGTCGAGTGGGTCCGAAGAATTACAATGGAGGTTGCCCAAAAGCTTTCCCAATTGGGATTAACTTAGTGTATCGAGGCCGCTTGCTTTGCATTTGTTAAAAATTGTAGCTATGCGGATCATTCAAAATTCGTCATCGAAATCGTTATCCTCATCACTGGAATAGCACCTGACCTGCCTGTGAACAGTATCTAAATTCAAATGAGTGAACCAGCTGCTGTACCAATCCAAAAACTCGGGAATGGAATCCAATTATGGTTTCTGGCCGTAGAGAGGGGCTAGATTATCGCTATCAGCGTGGAAAATGAGAATGCGGTATGGTCACTCCTTGTGACTTGGATTAATCTCATCGTCATATCGACGACAATAATCATAGGCGCTACACCGTGTATCGTGCTCCATGTGAGCCGTTGCTAGTTTCGAAACCGACCTTCACCTCTATGTCATCGTCTATAAAGGGCTCACGATAACGATTACTTAGAAGGCGATCTTGAAGGTAGCCCTTTAGTACTTCTCAGGATTCTGTGATGCCAGGAGATAGTTGTTGCATAGTCAGGCGATCCGGAACGGTCTCAAATATGGGGCGGCTCCTTTCGGCTCGTTCCAATCTTGGGACCATTCTTTGTTTCTACCAAAACATCAAGGTACGTATTCTGTGAGCATACATGTTTTTATTCGCAAGAGATATACAAAAATTCCTCACATTGTATATCCCCTAGAAAACCGCTAGCTAATAAGGGCAATGAGCCTCAACCTCAATTTCAATAACCATTCCCTCAATTCCAAGCTTTCCAATTTCCACACAAGTCCAAATGGGTCGGTGACTAGGGAGAACCTTCTTGAAATTGCCGGTGACCATATCAAACGTCTGATCCACATCGATATGATAGCTGCGCACTGCATAAACATTCTCCCACGACAGGCGCGAGTCGACGCTCTTCAGAGCCTTTTCGACATTCCCGAAAGCGATGGCCACTTGTTGCTCGACGTCAGGGTTGACATTACCACCTTCATCCCAGCCTCCTTGACCAGATGTTTTGATAGTGTCTCCGATACGTACGACTTGCGAGTAGTGGAAGGATTCCGAGTTTGCCTCGGTGCCGGCGTAGTTGAAGAATTGCATGATTGTTCTATTGGTGGATTTGGAGGATGGATGCGATAGGTAGAAATGAAGAAGATAGAGAGGAGATAAGGAGCTCATTTGACGAAACGGAATGGAAGTATCCAAACTATATAAGCAGCCATTCAAAGCATACCTCTTGGAGAACATACAACCTACAGAAAGATAGGGCATTTCGGATATGGCAATTCTTTTGACCATGCCCTCCAAACTGCCTAAAAGAAGAGATAGTTTCGGAATGTTCTATCAGTTGTGGATGTTTGACACAATAGCCAAGATCTCAGCCTTTGAACCGACCCTAGGCAGGGTAGATGGGCTTGCTACTTGCCTTAGAGGGCATATTTCTTGGCAACTTGCATGATAATGACTCGAATGGGAAATTATTTGGGCCAAGTGATATTCGGAACGTCAAAGCGCCTCCACCCTTGTGGACTCCAAAATCGTCCCCTCATCTATTAGGCTCCGCATTTCCCAAATAGGCAAAAAGATAGGCCACGGCCAAATCAAAATTTATTTGCTTTGCCTTTACCCAAAAATATTACTCTTTGCCACAAAATGAGATAATATAAAGCCTTTCAAGCCTGGGATTTCGCAAACCACCAGAAACTCCAGTCTACATTTCATAATGGCTCAATCTATCCAGTTAACGGCTCCTAACCAGACTTCTTATCTACAACCTACTGGTGAGAAACCAACTCCTCAGGAGCTTGAAACCAGTGGCTGATTACTTGAAAAAAGGACTGTTTATCAATAATGAATTCGTTCCCTCTCTTTCCGGCCAAACTCTCTCAACTGTCAACCCCTATGATGAATCTATCATCGCTAGTGTCGCATCCGCTGGCCCAGAGGATATCGACCTCGCCGTAGCCTCTGCTAGAAATGCCTTCAAGTCAGATGAATGGCAATCCCTAGCCGGGTACGACCGAGGCCTCCTATTGACCCGCCTCGCGGACCTGTGCGACCGCGACAAGCACATTCTCGCCACCATCGATGCATGGGATAACGGCAAGCCATACGAACAGGCATTGGGCGAAGACCTTGCCGAAGTCATCTCTGTCTTCCGTTACTATGGCGGCTGGGCAGATAAAATTCACGGGCAGACCATTCCGACCAGCGAGGCCAAGTTGGCCTACACTAGACACGAGCCTATTGGAGTGTGTGGGCAGATCATTCCTTGGAACTATCCTGTTATGGTATGTTACAAAAGAGCCCCCCTCATCCCCCAAGTCGTTGAAGCAACGCTAATGCTAAGTAGATGGCGGCATGGAAGCTTGGACCTGCTCTCGCGTGCGGCAACACCGTTGTAATCAAAGCTGCCGAACAAACACCTCTCTCAATCCTCTACCTCGCTTCTTTGATCAAAGAAGCTGGCTTCCCCGCTGGTGTGGTAAACGTTGTAAATGGCCCCGGTGCCACTGCCGGCGCCGCTATGGCATCACACCTAGACGTGGATAAAATCGCATTTACCGGCAGCACCAACACCGGAAAGGCCATTATGAAAGCGGCCGCCTCGAACTTGAAGGCGATTACCCTCGAGACAGGCGGCAAGAGCCCCTTGCTCGTATTCGAGGATGCCAACCTGGACCAAGCAGTGAAGTGGTCACACGTCGGCATTATGAGCAATATGGGTCAGGTCTGCACATCCACGTCACGCATATATGTGCAGGAGAGCATCTATGAGACTTTCGTCGAGAAATTCAAGCAGTACACTATTGAGAACTCTATTGTTGGCAGCCAATTCGATCCCCAAGTGAACCACGGACCTCAAGTGTCCGCTGCACAGAAAAGTCGCATTCTGGGGTATCTCGAGGCTGCCAAGCGCGAAGGCGCACAGCTTGTTCTTGGAGATGATCAGCCTTCCCCGGATGCCAAGGGTTATTTCGTCAAGCCTATTATCTTCAAAGATACCAATCGTGATATGACTCCCGTGCGGGAAGAGGTCTTTGGTCCTTTTGTCGTTATCCAGTCTTTTAAGGATCAGAAGGATGCGGTCGCGAAGGCTAATGATACTGAGTATGGGCTCGGTGCGGCCTTATTCACGGAGAACATTACCCGTGCTCATAAGGTCGCTGCTGCTATTCAGGCTGGCATGGTTTGGGTATGTGCTCGTAGATAAGATTTCGTATGACATATGCTGACCAACAATAGATCAATTCCTCGCAGGATTCCCACTTCGCTATTCCGTTCGGTGGATACAAGCAGAGTGGTATTGGGAGGGAATTGGGTGAATATGCCCTTTCGGCCTACACTCAAGTGAAAGCGATTCATGGTCAGTATTTTTCTCACAATTTTTCCGACCGGCATACTGATGTTGTTTTAGTAAACCTGGGGACTTGGCTTTAAATGTATCAGCGTGAGAACTTTGCAAAGCAAACGGCACTGCGCATGGATAGTAGGAAATAATGACAGCACACCCATGAGAGGCTATACAATGAACAATTCAATTATCTCCAATCCTAGTAAATTTAATGAATTTTTGCATATGATGTGCCTGGTACCTCGTGAATCTCGTGAGTCTTAAACTGCCGTCGGGGACCTCGGCTGAGGAGGCGGAAAGCTGCTGAACCCCACGTCAGAGAGATCCGGGGGAAAACGTACCTTCACCTTTACATTGCCTTTGCTTCTTTTCAGATTCCTTTTTTGCATTAACAACCTACGTTATTACCTCATCTTTAACCCTCACATTCTCACCATGTCGTTCCTCGGTGGCGCAGAATGCTCTACCGCGGGGAACCCTCTCTCACAATTCACGAAGCACGTCCAGGATGATAAATCACTACAGCGCGACCGGCTGGTCGGCCGAGGACCCGGCATGCAAGAAGGCATGCGCTCACACAACATGATGGGCGGACAGGACCAGGTGAGCCAGACAGCACACAATGAGCCTCGCCGCAAAGGAAACAGCAACAGAAACTAACCTTGGCGTCGGGAAACTCCCTATCAGATGATGGATGATTTTATGCAACAACCAGGACAACAACTTAATGGGCCCTCACCGCAACCATTCGCAATGGAGCACATGCGCCGGGAGCTTGATAATTTCCAGACGGGCCCAGCCCGCACAGGGTCGCCAGGGTGGGCCGGGGAGTTTGACGCGGGCGAACAAGCGCGCATGGAAGCCGCCTTCCCGGGACAGATGAATAACGGATCTGGGTTCAATCCTGCCGAGTTTGCCCGCTTCCAGCAGCAGAACCGCATGGGCATGCCGCAGACGTCGAGCCCTGCTGCCACGAACGCCTCGCCTATGATGGCGGGATACCAACGGCCGATGGCCATGGGCGGTGGTTTTATGGGTGGTATGGGTGGTATGGGGATGATGCAGCCTATGATGGGTGGACGTATGGGTATGCAACAGGGGCCTATGGAGGGACAGACACAGGATAAAGGGAAGGGGCGGATGGTGGAACTCGACGATGAGAACTGGGAGGCGCAGTTTGCTGAGATGGAGACTGCGACGGTCGGCAATGAGGCGCAGACCGATGAGGAGGCCAATGCGGCCATAGAGGCGGAACTGAATGATTTGGATAGGTCAGTCCCCTCCAATGACGCGTTTGAGTCTGTATGGCAACGGGTCCAGGCTGAGACCGCAACGAGCAGGAAACTTGTCGAGGAAGATAACTTTGAAGTCACTGATAACGTGCATGTTGGTGATCTCGGTGACTGGGATGGCTTTGATAGTCTTAACTCTCGCTTCCGGGATCCCCAGCTCGGCGATTACATGTTCGAGGAGGATAATGTCTACCAGGCTGTGAACAATCCGTTCGAGGAGGGAATGAAGATTATGCGTGATGGTGGTAATCTGTCACTGGCAGCACTCGCTTTCGAGGCTGCGGTTCAAAAAGACCCGCAGCACGTGCATGCTTGGACGATGCTGGGCTCTGCGCAGGCGCAGAACGAAAAAGAATTGCCCGCTATCCGTGCATTGGAACAAGCCTTGAAGGTCGACCCCGGGAATTTAGATGCATTGATGGGCTTGGCTGTCTCGTACACAAACGAGGGCTACGACTCAACCGCCTACCGCACACTCGAGCGTTGGCTATCCCACAAATACCCGACAATCATCGACCCGAAGGAAGTATCCGGCGACTCAGACCTCGGCTTCACAGACCGACAACTACTCCACGACCGCGTAACAGAACTATTCATCCAAGCAGCCCAACTCTCCCCGTCAGGAGCCCAGATGGACCCCGACGTACAAGTCGGACTAGGCGTTCTTTTCTACTGCGCAGAGGAATACGAGAAGGCCGTCGATTGTTTCTCCGCCGCCCTAGCCTCCACCGAATCCGGCAGCACCAACCAACAAGAACAGCTCCACCTCCTCTGGAACCGACTCGGCGCGACCCTCGCCAACTCCGGCCGCTCCGAAGAAGCCATCGAAGCCTACGAGCAAGCCCTCAACATTAACGCCAATTTCGTGCGCGCCCGCTACAACCTAGGCGTATCCTGCATCAACATTGGCTGCTACCCGGAAGCCGCACAGCATTTGCTGGGCGCGTTATCCATGCACCGCGTGGTGGAACAGGAGGGCCGCGAACGTGCACGCGAGATCATCGGCGACGGTTCGCATCCAGATGGCCTCGACGACGAGCGCCTCGAGCGTATGTTGCACATTAGCCAGAACCAGAGCACGAATCTGTATGATACACTGCGTCGTGTGTTTAGCCAGATGAGCCGTCGTGACTTGGCTGACCAGGTTGTCGCCGGCATGGACGTGAACATCTTCCGCAAGGAGTTTGAATTCTAGGTTATTGTTGATTGTTAATCTGTTGATTGCGTACATGGAAAGGTATGGGATGTATCTTTCGAATTTCTGGCTGGCAAGGCCTGGCTGCATTGTATCTACTTTTTTTATCATTTGATGGCTGCTTAGATGGGATCTACAAGCCAAAGAGGAAAACGCACTCCCTCATATATATGTCACTCTGTCTATCCACCGTACAAGTATTCACACTTACTTAAAATTGCCTACCTATAATCCAGTGTGTTGGGTTCTCCGATTGAACACTTTAGACCTTCACACGCACCAAGGCATCATATTGTTTTTCAAGTCCAGACTCTCATCGGAAGCGCATATGCCCCTGCTAGGCAGAGAACAATGGACTCTAAAAACGAAACTAGACCTAGAATGTGTTTGCTAGGTGATATAGCTATTTCGGAAGACTTTGCGATCTTAATCAAGGTCAGTTTAGTAATTATAATGAGTAACTGTGAATTCGCTGAAACAGGACAACCGATCGCGTTCCTTGGCGAGGTTGCGGCTGAGGCTGAGAAATATGACTGCGCCGGGGTGCGTAGAGGGGCGATACCGGACTTTGTCTCAACCTCTGTCTTGAACCATCCTGACACTGCTCAAAGATCTGCCCATGATAATTGAGAATTTTCCTATCAACCCCGCTATGGAACTTGACACTAGAGTCCATAAGAGAACTACCGCGGCAGACCACGCGACTAGGTGCGTGGGCTTATAAACCCCCACGACTGCGCAAACCTAATAAAATATGGCATATAGCCATGAAAGCACCACAAGCCTTGACAGGAATAAGATCCTCCTTGAAGCGGACGAATTTATCGCCAAATATGATCTGGCCGACTCACGAAATATAATCAGGAAGGGGGTGTTATTGTTCTACTACCTGGACGATCGCTCGCGTATCGAAGAGGAAACGATCTATTTGGAAGACTGTAAAGATATGCCTACCAACAATTCCCCTCTGACAGGAATGGGTATATGCTATGCGGCTGGATTTCTCTCCTTAATGGTATCTCGGCCGTGTCCCGAATGGGGCTGGGTTTGGCTACCACCTCAACCTGATGGAATAACACGCGCGCTTCACAGGTACATCATAGGTCAAACAAGAACGGATGGTATTTCACGGACGCTAATATTCTCCTTAGCAAAGTGTCCATTGTATTTGCACTTTTGGGCTTCGGGCTCTCATTGCTTTCCAATCAGTACGGGGGAAGGCGTCTGGCTTGGCGTGTGGGAGCACATCTTGCACTCGGCGCTTCAGTTGAGACGTTTATCTCGGACAACGGGATCTCGTTATTTTTTTTGAGAGGTCTCTCTACAACTGCAAATATCGTCTTGGTTTCAACTTCGCTTCTTTATATCGCCGAGACTAGTGCGCCCTCGAAGCGCGGCTCGTGCATGGCGAAGTGGTATTGGTAAGAAGAGACTCCTGGTTCAGAGAATGCTTTACGCAGAACGAAGTTAACAGACAAAAAGCCTAACACCTGTTATATGGGGGTGTTTCCAGGTACCCGGCGTTCTGATGATGTACATCTTTGGATTCTCCGGAGCGTTTCTAAACCTCATACTCTCAGCATTGGCTGCGTCAACACTCCTAGCATTAAGCGTCACGATGCTGGAGTCCCCTTACTGGCTGGCCTGCAATGGTAAAATTGCAGAAGCTTATCACTCGCTACGGGGTTTCCGTCAAACGGAACTCGCAGCAGCTCGGGACATTTACAAGATACACAACTCCATCAACACCCGACAGACCCCATTTGATGGTTATATGACCGGAAAGAAAACAGTTCCCAAGCTCGATGCATTTTCTAGAAAGCGCAAAGTGATGACTTCATTGGCGATATGCGTTGTACTGATGCTTACCAGAGGCGTTTCGAGCATCTTTGTTACCGAATTCTTTTTCAGGAGTTTCCATGGCATGGAATACTTCACCAGGATTGCCATTTACTTATGTGCGGTATTTGTATTATCCATGCTGAATGGGCTCATGGTATCATATCTAGACCACATGCGGCGAAGACCAACAATTATTAGCCTGCTTTGTGGGATGTGTATGTGTGTTGTGATACCATTTGCTACCACCGGCATTCAGGCTCAACAGAATGTCGCTGCCATGTTCTACATATGGTCCATTCTTCTCCATTTCCTTGCCGAAGTTCCAGTAGCTCTCTACATCTCAGAAGTCTTCCCATTGGAATATCGTGGTATGACGCCTCGAACTGTCACAAGAGAAAAGAGTCTAACTTTTTAACAGAAATGGGCGTTGCCGTGACAGTTTCTGTCTACGCCGGATGCACCGCTGTGCTTGAGAAGAGTATGGCAGAACCCTCGGAACTCGGTGTCAATATTCTAGGAAGGTCTTTGCTGTAAGTGTGCAAAGCTTGGGAGGCTCGAAGGCTTTCGGTTACGCTCTTATTGACAACAGACCAGAATATTACTTCCTCTCTCCATTCTACTCGCCTGCTTCATGAAAGAGACCAAAGACTCTTCTTAAGAATACATCGGTCTGAGATTCGAACCTTCGGTACAAATTCGATCCACTCCAGATCAGAAGCTCCATGAGCGAAACTCTTAATTTGCTTGACCTGGCTGCTAGATGGAGTGGAGTGAGACTATCCTTCATTCTCACTATCTGGAGGATGGCATCGTGATAAGCGCTAGATACATTTAAAATGCAACACCCAGGTTGGAGCAACCTTTCCCTCCATGCGATGCTTACTGTTTGTCGCAGACTTTCTTCGACACCAAAGAGTTGTTGGTCTTGTTGGTGACTAGTGCCGCTTCAAGGCCAAATTCTGAAAAGAATTGTCATTGGCTTCATGAACATATATCTAGTTCCGCATATAATCAGTAGTTATATGTCCTGTCCGCGGGATAAGCGCTACTTGGCAAGGACCTCCTATGTTTCATCAACGCAATTGTTCTTATCTCAAATTTGCCTTAGTATATATGTAGCCTCTCTCGCCTTTACGGGTGAAAGGGAGTCGGATTCATCAACTCATCAACGACCTTCCCAACCGCCACGGCTTTTTCCTCTCCAAATCGACCTCCAACAATCTGCACACAGAGAGGCATCCCATGCACAAGGTCGATATCATCTAATAATAATGAAAAATCAGCATCAACCAACCCACAAGCAGACAACAAAGAAAATAACTACTCACACTGCAAATAATTAAAAGCATCCGACTCATTCCTAATGGAATGTCCCTCCCACTCAGCATTACCCGTACTGTCACCAGAATCAAGACCTTGATCCGCCCGAGCAACAGGAACAGTAACAGCTGCATAATCTAGCAGATTCCACATAGCCGTGTAGCCCAACCACTGTTTACTCTTCACCCACGTCTTGGGCTTATAGCCTACCCACGGGAGGACGGGCATGAGGAGGGCGTCTATTTCCGATGAAACCCATTGTTTCAGAAAGGCGGTTTGGAGAGTGTGCTTTGTTGCTTCGAACTAGTATAGTGTTAGAATTATAACTAGAGTTTGATTCGGGTTTGGGTATTGGTGGAGGGGAAAGAGGCTTTTGTATATGTTGTTGTTGTGAGCGTCTTACCTGCTCTCGCTCCTCGTGTGAGAGAAGATCGCTTTCTTTGCCGACAACCATGCCTTCAATCAAGGGTTCGTCAACTATCTTACAGAGCGAGCGGCAGTGCTGACCGCCATCGGCAAGAATGCCCTTTGTCCAGAGATTGGTAGTGGCGATGTGGAGGGAAGTGTCCCATTCGATTACTTCGGCAGGTTAGTATAACACGTTTTCGACCAAAGGGAAATGGAATATTTGTTAAAAATAATGAGGGGGTGTATACCTTCATGGCCAGCGGCTCGCAACGCATCCACCGTCTCACGCATTGCCCTCGCAATAGGCGGTTGCGGCTTAATAACGCCGTCATCAAACACAACACCCAGTCTCAACTTTCTATTCACCGGCGGGGTTGCGAGCTCTTTTCGCCATGGAATGGGAACTGCACTTGGATCCAGACTCCACGGACTAGACGCAAGGAGACTTTCCATGAAGTACTCTGTTGTAGCGAGCGATGTGGCCATTGGACCAGCAACAGGTGGGACAAGATAGTGCTGGTGTAAGCTATCCAAGATATATTAGTACCGCTCATACATGGTATAATGAAGAGAAATGAGTGGCTTACAAGGAGCAGTCCCACGGTACTCGCCCCGTCGTCGGACATATAGAGTATAGACCCTGTAGATTAGCAGGTACTCGGATCGAACCGCCGATGTCAGTACCGATTCCTAAAACGCTTCCCCCGGAACCAACGAGGGCACCTTCGCCACCGGAGCTACCGCCTGATATTAGGGCGTGGTTGAAGGCGTTTACGGATTGGCCAAATACATGGTTGTATGAGTCGGACATCTAATCGGGTGTTTTAGTAAGTGGGGTTTTGATAAGAAAGCATATTGAAGACATAATAAGATATAGCGTACCATCAGAGATTGAGGCACATTTGTCTTAACATAGAGCACCGCACCCATCGACTCAAGTAGCTGCACGATTGAACTGTTGGACTGGGCCGGTTTATTGGTAAGACCCACCCATCCTATACATATATTAGCAACAATCCAACACGACGCTGTCAAAACCCGACACAGAAAAATCAAGAGATGAATTTGGAACACGCACCAACAGTCGTATCAAATCCCTCAACATCAAACCGATCCTTCACAGAAACCGGAACCCCATGCAAAGGCCCAACAACTTTACCAGTACGCAGTAGATGCTCATCAAGCTCCCTAGCGCGCTGCAGAGCCTTATCAAAGAATATCTCCGTCAAGCACTTCGTAACCTGTTGTGCGATAGCAGCGCGTTTACAAAACGCCGTTGTCAGCGCCTCGCTCGTCACGCGCTGGGACTTAACCAGCTCAACGAGGTCGCGGATATCTGCCGTCTCGGTCCATTCTAGCTCGTTGGCAGAGAGGATGCCGCTTGCGCGGATGATTTCTACGCTTGATGCTGGTGGGTTTGCTAGAAGGGGTGCTTGGAGGTGCCAAGCTGAGGGGATCAGGGCTAGTTGGGTGGCGCGCTTTTCGAGGACGCGGTTGTTCCAAGGCGGTGTTTTGCGCTCTTTGGATTGTTCTTGTGGGGATGCCTCGATGGTCATGGTGGATATAGTAGTTAAAAAGAGAGTATATAGTTATTAAATGGGTAGATGTTGGGTTTAGGGACGTAAATTACCGAGTTGTCAACTTGAACTTTGTTTATATCCCCCCTCATTTCGGTAATGTTGCCGTGAGGGGTCGCATTAGATTAGACTCAGATCTGATAGGACGTCGGAACCCAAATTTTGAGGGCTTATCGGGAATATACGAGTGGTGGAGATATAAGCCGCTGATCTACCTAGTATTTTTGTGCAATTGGAACCGAAGTGTCTCAAGATTATCCCCCAAAGATAGGGCTCAATGGCCAAGATGATAAGGATATCTACAGTATGTACTTACAACACGAACAGATCATTAGCAAAAAGGAGATGCAAAAGTATGAGTGAGGCCAGCTATTTTTCAGATACATTGTACCAATTAAAGACCCAGTATACTTGCTGCCACTGTTGGCACGCATTGTTGACTGTGGCACGCTGCGACTGGATTCCTAGCAACATTGAATAGCCATAATCTCTAGATTAAACGACATGAATAGTATGGTCTGTAAGCTTAATGTGATAGATGGTACTTTCTTCTACTCCTGATGAGCGTAAGGAGAAAGCTTTTCCAGCAAGCCAAAATCACCAATAGCACCAACACCACCGCTGCTCACTGTATGCGCAGCGACAGCTAATGTAACGTAAATCGCCATTATGGCCATGAAAAGCCCCGTATTGCCTAGGATACGCTTGAGAGAAGGCTCAGGTTTGTATATGTAAATGACAGCAAGGCCATGACGCTTTTTTATGTGCTAAGGATATTTGCCATGGTGCGTTTGCATATATAATTGACATTGAAAACTACGACTGCCTACATAGCTATTTTGAGATCGTAGTTAGTCGAAGTGGCTGTCACATTCCATGCTATGTCCTGAACATCATATTCAACCTTACAGTAGAGTCCAGTATCGCCTTCTATGTCGGGAACAGAGAGATCATCTTTCAAACCCTAATCACATGATATGCTAACCCATAAGTAAATAGGATGTAAATAAATCGTTTTGTAGCTAACCAGGTAATAAAAACAGGAGTTTAAAATATCAGCATGGAAGATACAAGAGTCTACCTAGAATGAGGGGCCTGGACTGATAAGTCATCGTTACGCAACCTTGGACTGGAAGATTCAATCCAAACCAACAAAACCAATGGAAAATTATAGGATTTCATGTTAAAAAAAGACATAAACTCCCCGACACCATGTATAGCTAGATCATCTCAGATCATGTGACGGTCGCTTGTTAGTGGAGGGGAATGAAATGCCGGCCACTCAACATTTATTTAACTTCTTGTTACAGTATATTCTCTCGCACTACCTTTTAATCTAATAAAATAACACTTTTTTAACGTTTTCTCTTCAAAAACCTCAGTGCTGTGCTATGAGAGCTTAAAAGGATAGCCGTTTCTTAATATAATACTCGGTGCCCGCGGACTCCATGTAGTAATCGAGTCTAGTATTCCAACGAATGGAGAAATAGCATTCTGCTATAGTGGAGCTATCGCGCTATATATTAGTCAATAGTTATATTTAATTATAAGTATAAAGTCTCATCGAGGAACTTTTCATTGTTATATCCTCTCGATCATTGCCTAGGTTGGAATGCGACTGCAACCAGTTAATAAAAATTATCGAACGGCATTCTGCTTGCTCGCAACACCCCTGAGTTTACATCGTTCCTTGTAAGACACCCTATATTATTCATTGATCAGAGCCCTGACGAGAGAAAATACCTAGTACCATCAACAGACTCTATTTCAGTACCTTCAATATGGAGCACATCACGCAAAAAGTGGACGAATGGATCATACGCGATAAGGAAGCTATCACTAGACTAGTCTCTGCCTTTGTCCAATGTCAGACACCGAGTCCACCTGGCGACACTCGAGAGGCGATGATTTTGGTGGAGAAGTTTCTCTCCGCTAGGGACCTCTTCTCTAAGAGAGTTACAGCTGAGGAGTCAATGCCGAATATCCTTTCTACGATCCCTATGGCAACAGAGGGACGGCACTTGATGCTGAGCGGACATCTGGATGTCTTGCCGGCTGGAGATGAACCGGGATGGCATGATGACCCGTGGAGTGGCAAAATTGCTGACGGTCGTGTCTGGGGCCGAGGCACCAGTGATATGAAGGCCGGTGTTACCGTCATTCTCTTTGCATATTACTATCTGTTTGAGTTAAGACAGTACCTATCTGGAAGATTATCCCTCGCCCTCGCATCAGACGAGGAGACTGGTATGGGTCGCGGGACTGGACATATGTTCACTCAAATTCCGAGCGAGATGGAAGCTGACTGTGTTCTGTCCCCCGAGCCAAGTGGCACGGAGGCTATTGCATTCTCCTCCAAGGGCTACCTACAGTTCAATGTCAGCATTGCGACCCGCGGTGCCATCTCTGGTTATCCCAACCACAGCCCCAGTGCTATCCGTATCGCTACCGACATCATTCACGATCTGGACGAACTGGAGAATATTCCTGTTGAAGTCCCCCCTTCAATTAAGGTGCTACTCGAAGATGCGCAGTATCGAGCATGGTACGATGGAATGTACGGAGAAGGAAGCGCGGCAGTGATTTCCCTTATTTCAGTGAATGTTGGCACTATCGCAGGCGGCAACTCTCCATCTGTTATTTCGCCTGATTGTTTCTTTGAAGTCACTGTTGTCATACCTACTGGTATGGATCCAGAGGTGGTCTTTAAGAAGGCCCAAGCTATAGTCGGGCGATATCCAGAAGCTTGTATTGAGTTGGAAGGGGCCGATACAGGGGACATATCAACCACGGATCACGAGATGCCAGTCATCCTCCAGAATATTGTCACGCAGCTTGGTTGGCCTAAGCCTAAGCTTACTCCTGACATTGCGATTTCTGATCTCCGGTATTGGAGATATCGTGGGATCCCAGGGTTCTGGTATGGGCCTAACGGTGACAATGTAAGCGCGGCCAACGAATACGTGGATATTGAACAGGTGCTGCACCTTGTTCGTACTTACGTGCTGGCTTCGGCGCAGTATCTACAAAAACACAACCCTTCCTAATGGCTGTAAAAAGAATGTCGAGATTCTCTAGGATTTTCTACCTTTGCCAATACATTAGCTTTTGTGGTCACTATCGAGGAGCATTAGTAACCAAGGAGTTATATTATAAGTAATATCGTATTATATATATCCGTTTCTAGAGATCAACCCTGCTTTCGGGCGAGCTTTGGGTAGGTCAGGATTTTATTATATAGCTAAGAGTTGCAATAACGTTAATAATAATTCTGGTTATTGTCACTTAGAGCTGTAAATTGCTACTTACAATACTTAGCCTTTCCTTCGTTTTGTATTATACCATTAGGTTTTATGACGGATCGTTCAATACGGAGCTAACCAAATACGGCCTAGAAAATAATGTGACTAGGGTTTGAAAAAATTACTCTGCGTTGTCCAACATGGAAGGCGAAAGCAGTCGCTACTGTAGCTACGTGGCTGCGTATCGTTGATGTTTTATTGTTGTCACAGCGATGATGATACCATGACGCTTCTTCACGGTGTTGTATACTCTACAATATATTAGTTTTGCTGTAATCTGACCATACTTCAGATCAAACTATGTGAAAGGAACTACTAAAAGGAAGACTAAATAGACTACGTTTGGAGAGTTCAATAATCAATATGGCATAACGCAAAGAAAATCCATGGATATATCGATCCTTGAGTGAGGATTCATCATTGTAATTGACAACACTTGGCCACGATGATTGAGACATGGAACAGGAGTATATGACAACTAGATTCCTCCGAGCTCAGAAGCTAGGAACACCCTCAAACATAAAATATACAAGGCGACTAGTGTGGGTGCCGGGAGTGAAGAAGGCGATGGTATTGGCCCGTTGGTCTTGATCTGGATCATAGAGTGCTGCAGAGAGGTTTGGGGGGATTGCCATGACTTTTTTGTTATCGTGAACGATCCAGTCGCCCTCAAGATCGAGAGTATAGAATGGTACTTCCCTCCATGAGTCATTGGGGCAGAACTGCAAGGCAATGGCCAACGTGGCATGACATTCGAATACCCACTCAGTCTCTCCCATAGCTATGTTGTGGATTGAGACTTTTCTATTATCCCATCCAATTGCTATTCTGGTGTCTTCGGCTGAAAATTTCATGAAATATGCGTTCGAAAAGTAATCCGTCTCAATGATCCTAACGGTCTTGTTTGATATATCCCGTAGCTCCACGCTACTGCTCATACCTCCTATTGCCACCATGGCATGATGATGGGATAAAACTGCGAGATTTAGAGTCTCGCTGCCTTCATATTCAAATTCACAGTCCTTGTTGTCGACACACCAAACTGTTACATGGCAATGGTCGCTATGGCGACTGGCTAACTGACTGGAGACTCGCGTACCATCGGAGGAGAACTTTATTTGCGGGCGGGGACTCTTCGCATCATACGGAAGAACGCTGGTCCAATGTAGATCCCACCGATTATTTTCCTTTGAAAATCGCCAAAGTTCAATAATATTGCTGGAGTTCAAAATGGCAATTTTCATACCATCTGCGGAGATAGCGAGCTCCAAACAGTTATCCAAGGCCGTTTGGAGGTAGTCTGTTGTTCCGAGGTCGAGGTCTTTTCCATCATTTGGATCATCCACACCCCACAGTCCCAGGTGACCTGGTCCTTCTTTTCCGCTTCCTTTGGGTAATATTATGACTGAGGTACCTGTGTCAGATGGCGTAACCGCATGCAGCCAACTCTGTTGATCCGGGAGACCCCTTTCGGCCATGAGATCCCAAATTTGAGGAGCTTCTCCCCCGCTCGGGTATATAGTCATCATAGTTCTGTCGGAATTGAGTAACATGGGGCTCTTTGGAATCATGAGAAGGGATGAAGTTGGGACAACTGGCCGCTGAAGGTCCCAAAGTGGCATTCTAAGTCCTATGTCGCCCGGGGAAGGCCGATGATGCGTTGAATTTTCGGGATATCCTTGGCTATCGTCAGCCAAGAGAGCATTCCAAGATTAGCTGGGTTGATGGATTCTTACCAGGATATTCGCGTTTACCTCCACTAGCTTATCCATAATTTCTTTCACGCTTTCTGCAAGGGATGACAATTGGCGATCAACGCCCGCGATAGCACCGCTATCCAGGGTTTGCAAAGTTGTGCTGGCGCCAGCTGCAGTAGTCTGAATATCCGAGAATCTATCCCCTGATGGAATACCAACAGACTTGACCATTCTATACATCTGGTTGTGTGAATAATGTTCAATCAGGTCGGCTTGATACTCAAGGATTTGAGTGTACAGGTTGATGGTTTGGGCTCTCAGCTGGGCGTGAAGTTCTTTGATACGATCTGATGCTGTGAACATCTTTTCCGGATGTTCAGACAGGTCATAAATGACCTCGATGGCCTGGAACCGCACAAGGAGCAATGCAATGGCATCCAAATTACTGATTGCCTCATTGGTCTGCGACAACGCCGTAGACACGACCTAGTCATGCAGTATTAGCAAAAACACGAGGTTGATTACCACTCTCGGGGGCTTACTGGTAGGAGAGCAGCAACACCCCCTCAAGTGAGGCTGGCACTAGGCTCAGCGGCCACAGCCGCTGTTATGATCGCCTTATAGCTGAGAACTGTCTCAACCACCTTCGTCACTCCCTCTCTCACATTGAGTACTCTGTCATTGCCAATCTTTATTTTCAACCGAGAGTTTTGGATAGTCTCCAGTTTTGCCTTGGCAGCCTGTTGGAGGTCCTCATCCCCATCAATGATGAAAATCTCAAGTCGAAGCGATCGCTTTGGATCTAGTTTTCCACGAGCCTCGGTCCAAAGTCCCTTTCCAATGGAATCGTCCTTCAACCCCTTTGCCCTGGCGGCTCGTTCTTCGTCAGTAAGAACGCTTTTTGGGAGATTCTCTTCCCTGGTCATCATTTGAGGCACGTTAGAGGATGCATCGATTGACTGATTTCGCAAGGGAATCGGTTCTGCGCATTGTGGCATAACTTCGGGATTTGCACATTGTGACGTTGAGTGGGTGGGGGTGGATGATTGAGGTAATGGCTGTGGAGAGGATACTGGTCAGCATGGTCGCAGTCATAGAATACAGGCGTCTATACGTTTTGGTCTTTTTTTTTCATGACCAGCAACATAGATGATGCATTCCGTCGGTGTTTGGAAGAATTAGGAACAAATTCCTGATTCTGCTCGTACTAAACTCTGGTGGAATAGCAGAACAGGATTTCCTGGCTAATGAGAGGTATTTTACCAGGCTGAAGCTGGCTTGCTTTAGGGCAATAAGTTGCAGTGTATATTTATAGAAACTTTCGACCCAATTCCACAAGTCACATGGCAAGCATTCAGCCGCATCAGTTCACCTTCAGCGGCTAATAAACACTTTTTATTCGACCAAGATAAAAGTCTGATACTTGACTCTTTGTTCCAGTTGTTCTTTCCTTTATTCTCTACCCTTTTTCTGGCTCATTTGATATTAGAATAATAGAACGGTTAGTCATTCGCTGATATCCGTGGTGGAGTTTCTGTAATTTTTAGATGCCATGTGTTATCGAACTCGGGACCAGCCATCCCTGTAGGGATCAGATTTATGAGATGATGAATACGGAGTAACTCACGTGGCATGGCATATCTTTCATTTGCAATTCAAGTTTGAGCTACTCCAGCTTCTTCGGGACTTGGGCCAAAAAATTGGATATAGAGTCACGAGGGTAATTTCCGTGGGCTTCGTATTCAGCGCTTACTAAGTAGAGTCGATAGTATAAACGAGAGAGCGCATAAAAGGAGGTAGATATCAGGGGGTGCTAGGTTTCTTATATAAGTTCAAGGAATCGAGTTGATCGACCAGAACTTTGAAGAGGATAGCAAGTCACCGCAGCGACGTGGGGATACGCTATATCTAGATACAGACTCCTAGGAATACTAATAGGTAGTACAATTACTATTAGAGCAGGTGAATGCTGGAACGTAGGACGAGAATAGACTACATAGACTATTGATGCGAGAACAGTGGGGTCGTGAACAGTATCACTAAAAGAACTACAGACTACTAAAAAGACTATTAGAAAGACCAATATGACAACGCCGCAAAGGCACACTATTTTCCCTGTGCTTGAATTCTCAATAATCAAAATACCCCATGCTATAGCTCTTCATTTTCCGTACGACTTATTGGTCTACTTTATATATTGCTTCACAGAAAGAGAGGGGTTATCTAGTAAAGGTAGTGTTGATGTATAGAGTGGCGAGCCAGGCGGTAATCGACTGCCGGTCCGGGGTATTCGTCGCTGATTCGTCACTTTCGCATTTCGACTCCACACTTCTCCGATATGGATCAAGGCAATCAAACAAGTATTGACCTTGCGAACAGGTTATCTGCCTTGTTTGATGCTGCACGAAATGAAGAGCTTACCTCGGAGTTGGGACTTCTTCCCACCCAGCCACGTGAAGTCCTCAGCCGGGTTTTATCGACTTCCGTTACTTCTACACCTTCCTCATCCGCATTACTCAACACCTCACAGCAGACAGCATCTGTTGGCTTTCGCAGCATTGGATTTGGCCAATGTGGAATGGTCTTCGAATGGCCCGGGCATACTTATGCAATCAAAATCGCCCGCCCATCATTCGAAGATGCTCTTTGGGCAGATTTTCAAGCCCACCTCGCGGTGTACCAGGCGTTTACAAACCATCAGTCCAAGTCCGTCGAAGTACGTATTCCCCTAATTTTCTCATACGTCTCGAAAACCAACGATGAATGGTGGGATTCCCATGTGGACCTTTTCCATGGATCACACCTCTCTTTTCCTCTACCTGCGATGGCCTTGATCACCGAACGGATACTTCCACTGCCCAAGCTGGCTCGACAAGCCCTCATCGATGCGTACTGTCCCGCGTCGTCGCAACTCGGTGTCAAGTCTCACCACACTAACCGCGATTGTCTTGCCCGTATTTACCTCGGCCGTCGGCGTGGTGCGAACGACCCACCACCACGCAACTTCACATTGAGAAACTTCAACTTATGTCTTGATCAGATGATCGAGCTGAATCTACCAATCCTGCATTATGCCAGAGCTATTGGACAGGCTTTAGCAATCATGCATTGGTCAGCGAACGTTGATGGCTACGATGTTGAATTCGTGCTAGGCAGCGAAGGAGAGACAACATACTCCCAAGATATTTGTCGTTCTTTAGGACTCAGCACAGAAAAGGTCAAGAATATGCCACCTCACACGGACCTGGATACCATGATACGTGCCAAATTCCAACGCCGAACTACCCGTATCTGGGTTCTTGATTTTAATTTGTGCAGCATATGGGAAGAACGAATGGGACTTGAGAGATCAGATGACTTGATAGCTCATCTTGTGGGGGCATTTTTCGAAAACGATCCATATTACCCTCGCCCATCAATAGACCTTAAACCTGAAAAGGCTCTCTGGTCTGCATTCAGCGAATCATACCGTGATACAGCAGCGAGTCTACTGTCATCCCCAGGAAAGGACCCGCAACTCGCGTCACTTCCACAGAAGTTCCTTGATGCTTGTGTGTTACGACAAACGGAATATTCACATTAGGGAAATTGGATGTTCGGGCTTATAGCGTTGAAGGGGTTCGGTGTATCATTATTTCGCTTCGTATGAGCTCGTTCAATGATTCAAACTTGTTATAGCTAAATGAATCGAGCTGCGTATCTAGACCGATCACAATTAATGCTCAATAGAAATAGTCGGCCGATTATGCCTTGTAATGTCTTTTTAGGTTCTCCTTTGAGCTAGTCTTTTCAAATCTCTTTTCAGATATATATAAAGGTGGTAAAGAAAAGGATACATTATCCAAGAGACTTTTCTATGGATAATCAGGGACTCACATTCCTTCCATTGAAATATCCTGATACTTATATATCGCGAGAATCGGGAATCCCGCGTAGAGAGATTGGTGTCCGAATATGAGTATCACTTCCGCGTTAGGGGTATATTGTAGACATTATGAGCTCTGCTGAGATCCGAGTTGCAATTCATTGAGTTTGTTTACCAGATTCCTTCATATTGGGTTCATCCTTCAATTTGTTCTTCTGTCTTATATAGAGAATGAGAGCCTCCTCCCCGTTTCACTTAACCTCCATCATGTGACGGGGTTATTCCTTCCTCGTTAGGACTGTCCACGAACACAAAACCCCCTCTCCTTCTCTGCTCTCTTTTGTTTCTTCCTCATCCAGCGCAGTCACGATGGCGCCCACGTGAGTGAACTTCAACCGGAATCTCATCCAAGGCCATTTGCTAATGAAGTGAATCTTCAGACCTTCGAAAAAGCGTGGTAGAGTTGACGCAATTGAATACGAAGACTGCTTCTCCAGGTACAGGCCGCCCCCATTCTGTGAGGACTGTGGGGCCAGATCACACCAAGGAACGTGTCGCACCCGCTGTCATCGATGTGACAAGAGACATCTTGGGGCATGTACAGCCTTCTGCAGAAAATGCACAGAGATTGGTCACTCGTGGCGCCACTGTCGGCTGTTCATTCCCCACCACATATGGATTAAACAAAATTGTGGCTTAAACACCACAATTGACAATGTGAACATCACTATGCCTGTCATCAATCCTGCACCGGTACTCACATCAACATCCCTCAATGCCGCCATTCTATCTCAGCTAGATGTAGCCCTTAATGGACTTCATCGCAAGGCGGGCGTGCCCATGCATTCACGAGTGACGATGAACAACGTCAATATATCTACTAACATCCTCTCTACTGAGAGAGCGGCCCCTCTTGCTCCGGACACTTCATTGCTGGATAGAGTCAAACCAGCTCCCACAGGACCACGCTCCAACATTCCCAATAATAGGCCATATCCTACCAAGCCTACCATTACACAGTCAGCCTTCGCTCGCTCGCCATTTACAAAGCCTGTGTTTGGTCAAACTGCGTTCTCGCAGCCGACCCTTAAGCAAAATACCTCCGCCGGCATGGCTCCAACCTGGCCCCGTCACAGCCAACCCTTTGCTACTTCGAAATGTTGAGCTACCTACTTGTGCCAAGGAAGAATGAATGGAACGGAACCACAATATGGGGGCTTATAGGAATGAGATATATGTCTACTGTTTTATATTACCACCGTCCTGTTGTGCGCTTGAATGATTCAATGTTTGATTTACTTTCCTAGCATGAGCTAAATGACCGCATCAACTTCTTCAACTTTAGAATTATCTCATAGTCTGCTCAGTTATCCTAGTTACTTCAATTCGATTACAACCTCTATATTTCTGTTTTATAGGTCACCAGTTAGGGTTATGTAGATTGACGATGATACGCCTTCGGGTAGCGATCGGCGCTCGTCCGCTATCAAATGCCTTCACCCCCTCGACATCCTCACAAGCCCAACCCACGCTCAAACAAACATGTCTTCTATCTCTATCAGACTCCCAAAAATCTATTCCAGCGATGGAGCCAATTCCGCCCCACCAAACGACTTCATAATCGGGACATGGCATGTAACCCACTCCAGCCTCCCCCTGTGGAAAGGCAAGCGCAACGTCAACATCACCTACAAGCTCCTGCCCGCAGATTCTGCCGGGGTGCAAAAAATCGACGACTTGGTACAATACCAAGCCGTCAACTCTGAGAAAATAAAATCCGTCCATGGGGTGGATACTCCAACGCCAGGCAACCCCGGCGCCTGGGATTGGCGCGGCAAAGGCTGGCTGATGATCGCGAGCTCGCACTGGGAGTGTCTCGGATTCGGTCATACCGATGATGAAAATCAGTGGATTGTCACATACTTTGATAAGACACTCTTTACCCCTGCTGGTGTTGATATATACTCGAGGAATAAAGAGGGGCTTCCGCAGACTATCGTCGATCAGATACTTGATGCTCTCAAGGGACTTGGGGTTGATGATATTGCCAACCTCGCTAACAGCGTCTTTCGGGTTCCTCAGAACTAGAGGCAAAGCTAAATAATATGTTGTTTATGTGTTGTTAGAGCCTGTTAGAAAGCAGAGCGCTCAGGTTGTGGAGACAATACCCAGGGTGTGATGGTGACAGAACTTGGGGGACTTGGACATCTCCAACTTCAAGTTGTAGATAGCCAAAATGGTCAAATTTGTGTCTCTGGAGCCTGGATTCGAGTTCGTCAACTTCAGGGAAGCCGCTGGACATCATTGTCTCTCGATTCCGAAGCGTCTCACGGTTTCTCCCAGCAGGCAGACAAACACCTGAATATGGTGACAATGGCCATCACTCCTATCAGTGGCCTTTTGCTACGAACCCCCAACACTCCCATCGACAGAGATTAGGTTTTGCATCTCGATCTTGTCTACAGGCCCGCTGCTACTCCACGACTTCCCCATATACAGGACTCAGACTTTCGCTGAGGCATTTGAGTTGGGACTTCCGTTTTTTGTAAAATCGAATTGTGATCCATGAAAACGTGCTGTTAATGCAGCAAACTACGTTCACACACAAATACGGCAGCACATGTTATAAGCAAAGCCACAAGGCATGGTTGAATGATATTGACATCGAGATTCTATCTACACAGTCATCAACATGCTAGCATTCTTATACCAGCTCAGCAGCGGATTCTCCCCATTCCGCGTCTCCGTGTCCTCAATATAAGCCCAGCGGTGCACGAACTCCTCATGGCTCGTAACCTGCGTCAGCTTCCCGGTAACAGCACGATACATATCCTCGACAACATTGAAGTCTGTCGGGAAGAAAATATCGAAGTAGCCTTGGTGGACCTGTCAAGTAAAATTAGCCACGTTCAAATTTCACATCGTAGAAAATAACCACATACAAAAGGAGTCGACACCGGCACTGTCTGTCGCTGATACCGAGTCTGCACGACCGGCGCGTTGACACCGGGCACAGCATCCGGCAAGGAACTGAAGTCACTGGAGACGAGACGGTGTGCTGGGAAATACTGGTTCAGGACATCAAAGAACTGCATCAGTCGTGTGGGGATGTACTCCGGCAGGGAGTATTCCTTCTGGAAGGGCGCGGCGGAGCGGAGACCGCGGAGGAGTGGTGGGCCCAAGGGACTCGGGAAAGGACGGCGAGCAGCGGCTTGACGCACGCGCAGGAAGCGAGCTGCGACTGGGTCGAGCTGGTTGTTGTAATACTCGTGGAACTCGCCGTCGGAATCGATCAGCACACCACCCTGCTGCGGTGTTTCGGTGCCTTGCTTGTAGCGGATAGTGTCGTGGGAGAAGTTATCGAAAACCTCCAGGGCGAGGAAGAAACACGGAGAATGAACGTATGTGTCCCAGTCGAAGATGGACCGGTTTACAATCTCGACCTTGTCCCGGTGTCCCTTGGCACTGAGCCTGTCGGTCAAGTTCTTGTACTGTAGATCTGCCAGCGCGGGCGAGATCTCAATGATCTTGAACTTGGTGCGCTGATACACCTCGTGATCGGTGTCGCGGATGAAATCAAGAATGTTTAACATCATTGTGCCGTTTCCTGCGCCCATTTCGTAAATGATCAAGTCGTGGTACGGGTATAGGGTCAGCTTGTAGTTTGACACCAAATACCGCGCAATCGTCTCGCCATAGTACGGTCGGAAAAGCTCCGTCGGTGTGTGCCACAGCTGGCGTGCGATGTCTGGGTTCGTCGCATCGAGCTTGTCTTCAAACTCCGTGTAGCGTTGACCGAGGAGTTTGTGGAACGCGGGCCCGTCTTCGATGTTGTTGAAGTCGAATGGCTCTCCGGGGCTGAAAATGGTCGCATGTTTCGAAAAATATCCGTAATGGGGGTTGTAGAGGCTGTCTAAAAGCGCAATGTCAGAACTGGTCATGCTTCATTTAGCCGCCGAGCTTACCGTCGATGAACTCGCGCGTCAGCATCTTGACCTGCCGCGGCCGTTCCCGGCGGTTGCGTAGCTCCTTCGCTGTCACTGTCGGATATGTCCTGTACTCTTCATCGATGTTCTTGGGGTAATCCCCTCGTTTTGTCCAGAGCTGGATATCATCGTGCGGCTTGCGCTTGACGTTGACAGGTGTGCGCCGCGTGAGGAATGATCGGGATTGTGGTCGAGCAAGTACGGAGGGTGACCGCCTTAATGATCGACATGCTGGATGGCGGAAGAGCTGTCGGAACAACTGGGTGAGGACTGGCGAGTCCATTGTGATTGCAGAGCTAAGCTCAAGGTTGCTCCGGGAAGAGAACGGGTGTTTCTGGATAGCCTTTCTGGCCTCAGGCAGGGTACCACGTGCCTCAGGCAAAAGTCATCACTTCCAATTTCTCGACACTTTGGTGACTACAAGGTTGTTGAAGCCGAGCACGATTTGAATACAGATCGGACTGTTTGAATTGGTTTTCAATATTCCATTTCATCGATTGAGCACAGGCTGATTCACATCTTGCACCAAAAAAGTCCGATGGTCCGAGCTTCATATCTCCTGTCTATGCGCATAACCTCAGTCTTCAAGACATAAAACGGCATTGCAAGATGCCAGATCATTCGACGGCGTATATAGGCACGGCCTTCGTCGCTGGAGTCTGCCTGGCACTCGCATATCAAGAACTGTCACGTTCCAAACATGAGGATAATGTGACAGAACAAATCCCTCCAACAAAAGGCCTCATCGCCCGAGCTGGCCCACCCACCATTGTGGAAGGCATTGAAGGCTGCATTGGAAACACCCCTCTCTTCCGGATCAAGTCACTATCTGATGAAACGGGATGTGAGATTCTAGGCAAGGCAGAGGTATGTAGCGTTGGTACTTCGTGTACCAACCACCTCAATAATGAATGAGCTAACAATGCGCTAACAATGCCCGCAGTTTTTGAATGGCGCTGGCCAGAGTTCAAAAGACCGAGTCGCACTAAGCATGATTGAGATAGTACGCTAAATTACACAACACCAAAAAAATTCCCTGCAACGCCAGCACCACTGACTCAAACCAGGCAGAAGAACAAGGTATCCTGACACCCCATTCAGGCGATACAATCTATGAAGGAACGTCGGGATCAACCGGCATTTCACTAGCAACGCTAGCCCGAGCAAAGGGCTACCTAGCACACATGTACGGATACGCCACCCTCCATTTCCCATCCAATAGCCACAACCACTAATGCACATGCAACTCAGCTGCCTGCCCTCCGACCAGGCAATTGAAAAGTCCAACCTCCTTCTCAAACTCGGGGCAATCGTTGACCGAGTCCCGCCAGCACCAATAGTGGAGAAGGACAACTTTGTCAATCGCGCACGAGCATTAGCAAAGACGCACACGGCCTCATCGGGAATTCCCCCTACGTCCACGGATGAGCAATCCGATCTCCCCGCGGCAAACGACCGCATGACCCGTGGCCGTGGCTTTTTCGCCGACCAATTCGAGAACGAGGCCAACTGGCGCGCCCACTATGAAGGCACTGGCCCAGAGCTGTACGCCCAGTGTGGGGGCCGGATTGATGCGTTTGTAGCGGGCGCTGGCACTGGTGGGACCATTTCTGGTGTTGCTAGGTTCTTGAAGCCATTGCTGCCTAGGCTCACTGTTGTGCTGGCGGATCCGCAGGGAAGTGGACTTTTTAATCGAGTGGTCTACGGTGTTATGTTTGATGTGAAAGAGAGGGAGGGGACAAGGCGGCGGAGGCAGGTTGATACTATCGTTGAGGGCATTGGAATCAACCGTGTCACCGCGAACTTTGAGGCTGGGAAGGAGTTGGTTGATGATGCGGTGCGTGTTACTGATGCCCAGGCTTTGGCTATGGCTCGGTGGCTTGTTGAGAAGGATGGGATCTTTATTGGGAGCAGCAGTGCAGTGAACTGTGGGTCTATCACCTTTCTGCTTACGGAGTAGTGTATCTGATGTGTTTTACTAATTGTGGATTCTAGGTATCGCCGCTGTCAAGACAGCAAGGAAGCTTGGCCCTGGTCATCGGATTGTCACGGTACTTTCGGACTCTGGCTCACGGCATCTGTCTCGATTCTGGGCCAAGGCAGGAGATGTTGGTGGGGCTGTTGATACGAAGCTTGAGGATGTTATGAATGCACGGGATGAAGACTTTCAATAGATATATTAATTGAATGTGGTATGGTATTCATCGTTATGAATATGTATGTGGATAGATTTCTCGATCACCGATCACTGGCCTCTTTTTAGTATAATTCGGTTGCACCCAATTGCCATGTTTAGGAGTTTATAAAAATGCCCAAGAAGCTGTTGGGAGCAGACGTATTACTCTCGGTTGTCTTGGTCACTTCTTGGATGCCGGGCTGCTCAAGCTCTTCCGGGGCGGTATCTGCAGACGCAGCATCGCTATCTCCTGCCTTATATTTGACTTCCTCCACGCCTGCGTCAGATTCTGGCTCATCCTTTATCTCGTCGTCCTGTGTTTCTTCTTGCTGCTGCTGCTCTTCCGGCTCCGCCTGTTCCTCCACGCTCCTGATAATTCCAGATGTAAAGCCCTCGCCAACAAAAGTACGTAGCAGCTCAAACTCGACTTCATGTCGTGATCGACCCCTAAACCGACTTTGTATCTGACCCCAAGTAAGATCCGATTGGGTGCTAAGTCGGGACAGAGCTTCCAGCTCAGGTTGTGACCATGCAGCAGAAAGTGGAGGCGGATTGACCAGGCGGCAGGTCCAGTGATTGTAAAACCAGTGCCAAACTGTCTGGTAGTCACGACTTGGCAGCATGTGCATCACGTCACTAGCCTTCTTTTCTTGTTTGTACATCATGCACACGATTAACTTTGCTTCATCGGGTGTCATGGGCTGCCTTTTGCTTGGTGTGTTTTCCATGAGCAGCAGGGATGGGGCCTGGGTGCTGGCAGTGGCCGTGGCGTTGGGGGTTGAATCGCCTCCCATCATAGAATCAAATGGTACTTTATTTTTGTTTTCTGTCTCGGGTGCTTGGCTTTCTTGGTCATTTGGTCCGTAGACTCCTTGGAGTTGTTCTTCAGGCCAACCGGCTTCTCGGTGGCTCGGTTCGCAGGCCCCATCTTCGACAGGTGCCTCAGGCACTTCATCTATCTGGTTGCTGGATTCACGGCTCCCTTCTTCGATGTCCGCATTTGCCACTTCATCCTCATGGTCACTTGGTTCACAGGCCCCTTCTGGGCCATCGCCTTGATCGTCAACTTCAATGACAACAGCTGGCCGCTTCGAAGGAGTAGATGGGCCATCGTTCTCTTTTGTCGGAATGTGTCTCTTCCCACGGATAATTTTCATTTTGGATGGTGTCGGTGATGGCTCATAGTCCTGCAACGGGTCATCCGACTCATTCCCATCCGGTACTTCCGCGAAAGACCAGTCGTGCGTCACAGGGCTAGAATGATATTTGCGCTTTGCAGCTGGTCGGCGCTTACTCGGTGTAGCCTTGGGTTTCGTTTCTGTACGTGGTCTCCGGGGTTTGCGAAGAGCCCAGACGGAGCCGCTCCCTGGGGGAGATGTAGACCTAGCAGGTGGAGTGAATCCCACGTTTGATTTGCGGGTCTCAGTGGTTGGCGTTGAAAAGGATGGAGGTAAGTCTGGGACTGCCCAGATTGGATCTTGCGGTTTGGAGACCGGGATAGTGTTGGTGGGATGTGAGACATGTTCCTTCTTGGTTGTAGAACTGAGCCCTGCGGTCCCAGATGCTTTAAATTTAAACACGAAATCCAAAGAGGTGTCCATGTCTGTCTGTAGCTGTTTGGATGGCGACTCTTCACGCGGAGCATGTGAAGAATGAGCACCGGGAGAGGATGCCATAGAAAAGAATTCATCCTCGTCTCCCTTCGGGTTGTTGTCATCGTCTGCATCAAAGTCTTCCGGCTCATCCAGCTCAGCCTGGGAGAGCCACGATCGCGGCTGGCCACCAGCATCGTGCTCGCCCCGCATGCCTAATAGATGCCCATTGTCTACCACTATATCCCCGGTCTGTAGATCAATCTCATCGCCAACGTCGGTGAAGTCCTGGCTATATTTCGCGAAAATGCCTTCGAAGAGAGACTTCAGTCGCGAGTCATTCTGCGCACGCGCGGCTGGAAGATCGAATTCTGCGGGGATCTCTTCATCATCCTCGGGTGTATATGATAAACAAGGTCTCTTCGCCGGTCGTTCGATATTGTCCTGCATGGAGTGCTCCATGCTGCCGTCCAGGTCGGACATGGTTGCGGGTAAGAATTGTTAGGCGCGTGCCTCAGAAGTGATCGAACGTTGAGCGCGTAGTAGAATAACGCATAATTAAATTGGGTAGCAATCTGTTGATTGTAGAAGTAAAGTGTGGTGTTCAGGCGCAAGCGCGAGCAAATATGCGGCAAAGACAAAAACAAACTGAAATGACGTTCCTCCCCAAAGCTCCGTTGGAGCTCCCCGACTTCCACTCCCCACACCTGAGCACCCCCCCGATGAATTAACAACCATGTATTGCCAGAAGTGTCGCACGCCGTTAAAGCTAGATGGCTCAGTAGAGTCACTCAACCCAGCTGCCTTTGACTTGCTATCCAGTATGTTCCTACAGGGCGATCGGAACGATCCCGCTAATAAAGCTACGGTCTAGACTCTACAGGGAAGACGTTGTCAGATACCGGAGCTGCCTCCTCGTCAGCGCGATCGTCCTATCCCCCCGAACACCGCGACAAATATGAGCATTCCTCTAAACATGCTACTTCGCCGGTTTACAGACGGTCTATCCCCGCCCCGCGTGCAGGAGGCCAACACAACCCGCCCGCAATCCCACGAGCCGATAGCGGCAATATGTCATTTGTGATGCTCACTGAGTCTCAAGTCGCGCCACCACCAATCAGTGAGAGTAGTTCTGCTGCCCGACCCAAGCGAAACCCTACACAAGCCCAACTCCGGGGCCAGGAGGATGGGTCATTCGTGGATCAAGTGGAGAAAACGACACGACTATTTGAGGTAGTCTCGGCGCGCTCCGATATTGACCATCCTATTTGCGTGGAATGCACGGAGCTGCTTGTGGAAGGATTGCAAAAACGGTTAGCAGGGTCTACGAAGGAGCGAGATGCCTACATCTCATTTCTTAGAAACCTGAATGGGTCAATCCCGACCGAGGAGGAGCTGCAGGCAGCACAGAAATCGTTGGATGAGAGCCTCGAAGCGGAACGGGCCGCATTCGCAGAGCTGCAGGCCTTTGAGAAAGAAAAGGCTGCCCTAGATGCCGAGATTGCGAGCCTGGAATCTGACTCGCGACGCCTGGATGCGGACGAGGAGAGCTTTTGGCGGTCTCGCAATGCGTTTGCGTTGACGCTCACTGAGTTCCAAAACGAACGGGATGCACTTAATATGCGTTATGATCATGACTCCCAGCAGCTTGAAAGACTGCAACGGACAAATGTCTACAATGACGCGTTCTGCATTGGTCATGATGGATATTTCGGTACTATCAATGGACTACGGCTAGGCAGGCTGGCCAACCCTTCTGTTGACTGGCCTGAAATTAATGCTGCATGGGGGCAAACAACGCTACTTCTTGCCACCATGGCTGAGAAACTCGGATTCCAATTCCAGGGGTATCGTCTCAAACCGATGGGATCTAACTCGCGGATTGAGAGAATTGAATATCCCACGCAGCCATCCGGTCAGCCGGTCGCAGGAGCTGCACCTAAAGTGACCCAACTAGACCTGTTCTCGTCTGGGGATCTCCCGCTCAACTTTCCTTGGACCCACCGTCGCTTTGACTCGGGTATGATAGCGTTCCTTGAGTGTCTGCGCCAGCTGGGCAAGTTTGTTGAAAAGACCCCGGCGCCTGTTATATCTACCCGTCGCGGCCAGACCGGCGCCACAGCACCGGGGTTGAAATTGCCCTATGAGATCAAGCGGGACCGTATTGGCGATGCCAGCATCAAGTTGGGCTTCAACCAGACTGATGAGACATGGACTCGAGCCTGCAAGTACACGCTCACTTGCTGCAAGTTTCTCCTTGCGCATGCCAGCAATCTCGCTAGCACGGGGTCTAGCAATTCAGCTGCTGTCGCGGCTGCAGCCGTATCAGCCGCCGACCAAGCCCGACAAGCAACGGCCAGCTCGAAGAATAAACCCTGAAACACATCCCAGGCAATTTTATTTTAATTCTAAAACAGCAAAAGGTGAGGCTGCAGCACAGGATTCAAATGCCAGTCATGTGGGCTGAAAATCGCGCAGGTGGATGAAATTAAAGACCTGCACAGCGCATCACTTTCGTACTTTGTCGATAAGCTCCAAGCACACGATTGCACATCGATGTACATTATAGGGGGAGGGGATGGCAATGACGTGCCATCACTCTGGGTGTTTCAACCAAGACCAAACCCCCGAGTTTTATTGGCCTGTCACAACACTACTGGAATGACGAGGCGGCCCAACCAATCCCCTGACATATGTCGGCTGAGTGCAGCACTGGCGCGTGGGCCGGGAACAGACCTCTCCACTTCTCAATCACTCCCTTCATCGCCTATGATCACGGGAGAGGGAAACTGCCCCCGATATGCATTTGTACTGAAATTCAGTCTACGCGCTACATCCTAGTACCTGCATGCGATCCGAGCCGGTGAACGATGGTCCGTGGACCTATGAGCGTGTCGACGGCAGATATCTCCGTATACAGGCGGCTCGAGTGGAGGGGCTCCACGCGGGATGGCCGTTGTGTTCCCAGTGTCCACTTCTAAGGAAAGCGCGGTTAATGGATTTTGCTTGATTTATGTTTTATATTGTTTTATATTAGAGAGATAACAAAGTACACCCCGCACTTTGACTATTATCCACGGCCATTCGAGGGTTAGTTACGGAGTACGGAGTACCTGGAGTTTGGATAGTTAATATGGGTGAAGTATTATTATTTACGCTGTTTTTTCTTTTTCTTTTTTTCTTTTTTCTTTTTTGCTTTTTCAAGTATCTAAGAACTTATTATTCCACCCCCTTCCCTATTAAATATGATTGTACTCCAGTACTTTGCCACATCCATTCGGATACAATCAAAGCTCAAAGCAAAGATACCTCCCATCCCTCTCGGGGACTAGCATTCTCTCTCCCCGAAAGACAAAACAAAAAAACCCTGTAGATCAGTGCAGCGCCCATCTTCAACCTATTATTCCCAGCTGACACTAGTTCCTGAGTTTTGCGCTGGGAGTTCTAGCCCTTGGGATATGGGCCACGCGTGCAGGTGATAACGGGGCATGTGCACCGTTGTATATGAGCGTAGGATTGAGTGGAGTCAACGAGTTTGAAAATAAAAAAGACGAATCCACCTAGGTTGATGGTATGACTATAAGTACGGAGTATACGAAGTACATGAACTCCATTTGTACTACCTATTATAGTGTCCCCGAGGGTATATATAAATCCCATACCACCTAAAGTACTCCGTACTCCGTAAGCATGAAGATACTGTACTTCGGGTCGGTAGGAAGTCCCCCGTCCAGAAAAAAAAAATAGAAAACCCAACAGAAAAAAAAAAAGGTAAAGGTAGCACGGACCTTGCATCGTACGTTTTTAATGAGTCTCGGCCGGAGAAGGATGGATTATAACACCTTATACGGAGTACTTAGCACTAAAGGGAAATTGGTCTGACAGGGTAACCTTGACTCGAGCCCAAAGCGCATGGATTCCAGATTTCAGATTTCCCCCTTGATCGTGGATTGTGGATCGTGGATTTGTAACGGGTTTAACGGCTTTACTCCTTGCTGAGTGACAGTTGAGATCTGGCACGTTCGGTATGGCAGGTGTCATATATACATATCGATCTACATCAGCAGAACATATTCACGAGTCATGATATATACCCAGACCTATATCCCATGAATATTACGTGGCTGATTGATCCACGGAACTGGGATTCTTGGAGGATTTTAGGGATTTTAGCCTCGGAAGACAAAGACCTGTCAAGGAAGATTCGGCCCGCTCCCGGTGTTTTTGTTCTGATCTGCAGCTTAGATTTGGGATTTTGGTACTTTTTTAGTATTATTATAGTAGTGTATAATAGAAATATAGCTGATTCTAGCAATATAGGAGTATATTGTACGATCTACTATCTACTAACACTCCGTATAATATAAGAAAAAAAGAAAAGGCAACGGAAAATGCATCCAATTTGCGGCCAGTGCACTGCATGTAATAGTTCGCTTAGGCTGTAAAGGTCAAAAGTACCATCTCCACTTGATTCCGTAGAAATAATTTAATAAATATAATTTATAATATATAATTATATTATATTATATACAATATATCAAAATATATCAAAATATATCCCAAAAAAAAGCAAATATCAACAAATGTCAACATAAAAATTATAACCCTAAAGCACAAAGAAGCCCATATTAAGGCTCCCACCACAAAAAGACCAAAACAACGGGCATATTCTCCCTAGACACGTCGATCGTGACAAGTATGGCCACTTATAGCCACTGATGGACCTAACTGGACCTAACTGGACCTAACTGATCCTAGCTAGCTGATCATGGCCAATGGATCCCAGTCGAAGCTGATTTGTCCGGGGAAGCAGGGGGTCGTGCGTCCGCGTGCACGTCGCCGCAAAGAGAAGAGAGAGAATTCCTTGGCCCCCTCATCTCTTGCCTCTTTGCTATTTTATTTTGGGCTTTTTTTAGGGATTCGAAGGGGATTTTTAGGGATTTATTATTTTATTTTCTAGAACATATTATGATTTGCATTCCTTAAAGACGAATTTATTATGGACCGCCGAACCTCTGTTTTGCATACTAAATAATCCCCATATGATATGAGATTCATTCTCGATCTCTCTTATATCTCTTATATATTTTCTTAATCATGGAGAATAATTACTCGACTCCCATCTCCCCTCAATCGCCTAATGTCTTTCGACCCCGCCGATCGGATGACTGGCACGAATACCGTGAAATCATCGAACAACTCTACCGCAACGACCAGTTGAAACTACGCGATGTGAAGCGCATCATGGAAAGAGATTATAAGTTCTTTGCATCGTACTACTATCCTTTTCATTTCCATCTTCATCGAGATCTTCCGATTTGAATACGCCTCTTGCGTATTCATCCCATATAGATCTCCCCCCTCCTTGTTCCGCAGTATCACCTAACTTCAGTCCATTAGAGAAAAACAATACAAAGATCGTCTGGCAGCATGGCATGTTCGAAAGAACATCAAAGCCAAAGAAGTCCATCTCATGCTTCGCA